TGTGTGTTTGGTTCAATTCTTTGTCCTCGATCACTAAGAACCTGCTTACCTGTGCACACCTGTGACAGTGGCAGAGGCATTAAGGACCTGCTTCAACTCAGCCTGTAGTTGGCGAGTGGCTTAGAGACTGTGTGCTAACCCAGCGCTGCCTATCCCAGTTGCTGGCAGGGTTGTGAAGGTTGTACCTACTAGTATGAGCAGGAAGACTGGCCCGTTTTTCTTCATGCCTGGTTAGTTTGTCCCTGAGCTTCCCCTCTCCATAAAGCATAAGCTGTGGGGTCAGCACGGTCAAGAAGCAGGGAAAGGCAAAGGCAGAGTTAAGGGTCCACAGCAGCATTCCATTGCACCAAAAAAAAAAGTACCAGGGTGCTGTTGGTGGTTCCTGATATGGGAATTATCGCAGGGGGAGGTGCTACCAGTGGCATAACATACCTGTAGCTGGCGTCCAGGATTTTGGAGAAGAGGTACATCCTTTAAGAGGAAAGGTGTGGGGGAGTCAGTGACCTTGAGAGGATTAGGGATGGAGACCGCTGTGATTGGAGAACAGTTGAGATAAGCACATAAGAAACAGTAATATTTCCTATATCAGTAAGGTTTAGGAGGGAAATACCTTGATGTGGGGTTTTAATCCATGGACCTGGAATGAGAGCTTGGTATATTTCAATAGAACTCCTGGGATGCAAATAGGAGAGGCTTTGGTACAGTTTTCCCTTTACTCCCTGCTCCCAACTGGGAGTCCCACGGGTTATTAATAGCAAAGCGCCAAGACTGGAGAGTACTCCATTCATGGAATTTGCAATAGTAGTAGGGGCAGCCTCCATATGTGTCTGGCCAGAGTGTGCAATTACTACCCATCTGATCATAGAGAAAGCAGAGAGCATGCCATCCATATGGGGCAATCCAGCTGTCTAGCCCTTTAAAGCTACTTTTGGAAGCAGAGAGAAGGATGGATGTAGAGCAACTGGAGGGAGAGAAATCCGAGGAAGTGACTGGGTGAGAAACCACCTGTCCATCTTTGTTACAGGTCTTACGTACGAAGAATCTCCAAATGTATTTGCTTTGTAGTTTAGGAATAGTCTCTGACAGGCATGGGTGACTAAGGAGGAGGAGAAGGAGGATCAGTAAAAACTTAATCGGGAGAACCTGGTGTTCGAGTAAAGCAGACTAGGGTATTTCTTATGAGCTGCGCTGACCACTTCTCTGAGACAGAGGCCGGCTTAAGGCAGATTTGGACTGATTGGGCAGTGCTGGCCTGGCCAGGAACTCCAGAGTTCCAAACTAAGGGATTTACTTTTTGTAAAATCTGCTTTGGGATATTATTTTCCTTCTTGTCTTTACAAGCTAGCATAATTATAAGGACCTTATCTGAGTCCTCCTGAAACTGTAAAATAGCTTCCAGTCTGGCCAAGAGGTTTTGTCCTAGCAGTGGTATAGGGCATTGTGGAATAATCAGAAAAGAATGCTTTAAAAAGTTGGCTTTTAAACTGACAAGTGATAGGGGGCATGTTGGAGTTCCGTCAACCCCCATGACTGAGATCTGGGAAGGGGTAAGGGGACCAGAATGTGATGGCAAGACCGACTAGGTAGTTCCCGTGTCCACTAGGAATGAGATGGCCTTACCCACTATTTGTAGCATTACCCTGGGCTTGGCAAGGGTGATGAGTGTCTTTGAGTCTGGGCCGTGTCAGTTACCCATGAAGCCAAGGAGCTTTAAGGCCTGAGAGGAGTCCTCACCTTGGCTAGCTGGTCACCCTCGTAGAGGCACCGGGAACAAGCCTTTAAGGGAACAGGCATCTCTCCAATGGCCGAGCTGCCAGCAGTCAGAGAATGGTTTTGTGGGCGGTTGAGGGTTTGGACATTGGCAGGCCCAATGTCCTTCCTTACCACATTTGAAGCAGGCTCCTGGCAGCATTCTTTTTGATGACCCAGACTTTGACTTGTGCCCTGGGATGATGTCCTGGGTTTTCGGTTAGCCTCAGAGCTGCTACTATAGCCTCGGTCTGCAAGGCTACCTTCTGCTGTAGGCGTGCTTCGCGAGCAGCCTCAGCATTTTTGTCCCGGTTGTTAAAAGCTTTGAATGCCATGTTTACCAGATCTCGGATGGAGGTTTGAGGACTGTCCTCTTTTTTTTTTTAGTTTTTTCGAATGTCTGGGGCTGACTGAGTTGTAAAGTGTTGACGTATTAATACCTGTCTCTCTGGAGACGATGGGTCTATACTAGTGTATTTCTGAAAGGCCTTTACCAGTTTGTTGCGGAAGAGTGCAGAGTTTTCTTCCCAAATTGCTTCGAACTATGTAAAGGTCTTTCCAGGCCATATTAAAGACAAGGGTTAAAATATGGAAGTTACTAATGAGTTGCAAGGGATTTTTAGAAAAGTTTCCTAGGCTTTCCTTGTACTACTGCTGGTCAGTGATTGAGAAAGGCACGTATACCCGAGTAGGGCCCTATTTAAAGGAGGGGAAAAAAACGCCATAATCTGCTGTTTGCCAGCATTACGAAAACTCTGAGTATTGCAGTGCCCCACCCCCTGCTCTTCTCAGGACAGAGGCTGGAAGAAAAAAACAAAGAAAAAAAACAACGCAGAGATGTTAGGCTTAGGACTCAGGCACAGCTAGGGAAAACAAAACAAAAACCACCTCAGTTTAAAATGTTACCTTCTCCACAGCACTGCAGAGGCAGGTACCCGGCTGTTTTTAGCAGCCAGTTAATTACTCTATTGTTTTGAGGACCTATGGTAGTTCCCAGGTTTAGAAGTTTACAGTGCTCCAAAGACTTAATTCCTCAGTTTCCTTTCTGAGTTTTACAGTTAAGGAGGGAATGAGATTTTCCTTTTTTGTACCCTTCTTTGTAAGCAATGTGGGCATAGTGGGGCCAAGCCCAATAGAAAGTTGAAATTGACTGCAAGGCTTGGGTTAGGCAGGTAAGGAATATCATCACCTCCTGCTGTGTATGCATTAAGAATGAAAGGCATGGTTTTACAGATTAGATGGCTGCCTGGCTAGAAAATAAACACAGCAGTTACTTGGTAAAGCAGACAGGCATGAGAGTAGTCCGAGATGCAAATGTAGTCAGAGAAAGGAGCCTGGGAAAGCCAGAACTTCCACTGCAGGCTAAAATCTCCATCTCTCTTCTCAAAGACTACACCTAAGTGGGGAATGTGCCACAGGGATGACACCGAGTGTGCTTTTACAGTGTGCCTCTAGCTGCGTGGACATTCACTTGCAGTTGCCGGGAAACCTAGTGTTCTTTCCCAGTTCACGTTTAACATAACCTCCCACAGGTGTTTTTGTTGCTGCGAGTGCCCCTGTGGCTTTTAAATGCTTGAACCCATGCCCACGGGGTGCAGTGATTTCTTGAGAGAGAGACAAAACAAGACATTTGCCCAGCAGACATAACATTGTCCACCCCCTTCAGTTTTTTTCAAGGGGTATTCGGATGCAAATTGAGTTGTTTGAAGTTACTGGGGTAGCTGCTGCAGGCTTACAACTGGCTAATAATTCAAACTGACTTTTTTTTTTCCTGGTCAGGTTTGGAGGCAGAAAAGGCTAAGAAATGCAAGTAGTGGGTTAGATTGTGTTGCTTGTGTGCAGGGCTTCCAAAAGCCATTATTCCTTTGGTTATCCCTCTAACTTTTTTTTACATGTTTTGGTTTCTCCAAAAGCTGTCTAATACAGCCAGGGGGGCTCAGAGTGCTGGGTGACCAGCCCTTAAGTGCACTTTCCCGGATGAGCTGGAGTTTAATTACCATGATTGGAATTTCCTGAGACCCCTGCACGTCTCAGGGATTGACCTCAGACACCCCAGTAAGGCCCCCACTTACCTAGGGCCACTCAAAGATTTGGGCCAGGGGGACGTGGGGAGCTGCCTCTTTTCTTCGGAGTCCGGCCAGAACCGGAGTACTCATTTAAGATCTCCTTGTGTTTACTTCCAAACATGGGCTTAGCACTTTGAAATTTCCAACCCCCACAGCATAGGATCTCCTTAACTCCGAAGGTGAGATTATACTCACTGTGTTTCAAAGGACTGGACACAAAGGGTTAAGTTTTCTGGCACAGCCTTAGCTTTTTCCCCCCTGGCACAGGCCTCTTACTGGGCGAACGAAGGCCGCTGGCTGGAGGGAGCTGATAAAGCAGTGGGTAAAGGAGGAGGGAGAAAGGCCCTCAGAGGGAGGGGGAGAATGAGGAGGGAAACAAGATGTTCAGGAGAGTCAGAAAAAGAAGATAGGAAGCTCTGGAGCAGTTAGTTTTGGAGAGAGTGCAGATTCAGAATATTTCCAGGGCAAGAGGACTTGTGCCATGGAACAAGGAGTGCACAAGTCCGGGCAGGAGCACAAAGTTCTGAAGCTCTGAATGTGGGGGAGCCTTAGACTATTTTTCCAGTCCGTCTGCAAAAGTTATTTAGGTAAGGGTAACGAAATCGAAAGTGAATTAAGGGGGGCCAGGTTTTGCAATTACTGAACTGATATAATGGCCAGGCCGTAGCGGACAGAAAAATCAGTCATTTCTGTTTGAGGCCAGACACCCTAGAGGCGACTTAGGTTCTGGTTTGAACCCCTGCCCTCCCATTCCTGGTCCCAAGGACGGAAGATCAGTGACTGAGAATAGGCGTTTCGCAACTCAAGTCACACACCAAATCAGACAGAAAGGGGAACCCAAGCCTACAGGACGTCTGCTCCTAGACATGAATCCCAGGAGAACAGTATCTCCCGGAAGGGCTACTCCCAATGCAGCGCCACCATTTTGGTTAGAAAAGCAGCCTTTCCCATGGATGGGGACCCAGAACGGAATCCAAGGACCAGGAAGTTGAGGGAGGGTGGCACTAACTCTGATTCGGTGCTCACACTGGTGGAGTATTCAGAAGGCTCCTCGAGGAGCCGGGAGAGGGGCAGTCTTCAGCAGACAATGACTCGTCCCAGGTTTCGGCACCAAATGTAAGGTTTTCTTAGACCCCGCCAAGGAAATAAACAGCCAATTAACCATGAAAACAGGCATATGAGCTTTATTTTGGAAGTTTGTGCTCGCGAGCAAGATTTCCTCTGCCCCTGCAGAGGAAGGGTGGAGGAAAGTCCAAACTGGAGAAGGATAACAGTGGGAGTTTTATATGGCTTGACTTCACGCATGAGCCAAGAATTGGTTCTTGGTGAACAAAGAAGCAACATATCATTGGTATTTCTTGGTCTGACGTCATCCACCTTTTCCGGGTCAGAATTCAGTCGCCATATTCCTTGTAGTCCGAACGGTGGCCATATTTGTAATCCAAACGCAATAATTGTAACTAGGTTCCCAATTATCCTACCCCGCCCATCCTGACAACACATCCCTTAACCATTACGTATATTTTGTCCCCAAGAGAGTTGGGAGAACACACTGCTGGCCTTTCCAGCTTGGCCCCTAGGCCCTCCCTGTCTGCTCGGCCCAAGACCCCCTGGTGACAGGGCTGGCCGCACTCAGCAAAGGAGGGATGGGGTCATCTTTGCACTTGAGACGTCTTAGGATCGGGAGGGGGACGGGGCACTGCCCAGTGTGATTGGGGAGGAGCTGCCTCCCTGCCCACGCCTGGCATTCTGTGCCCTGCACAGAGGGGGCACCCCTGGGTCTGCCCTCGCCAGGCCACCCAGAGCCCATGGGAGGGGGCTGATGGGGCAGAAGGTGTGAGGTCACCGCGTGTGATTGCCAACAGCAAAAACGGGGGTGGGGGAAGAGCTGGTGGTGGAGGCGAAGAGGTGACCACTCTTCGGGGGTGCTGGGCTCCCAAAACATCAGAGGGTGAATAAAATATAGATTTGTAGAAAACTCTCTGGCCCACCTCGGTGGCCTTCCTTCTTGCCTCACCAACTTGTGCTTTTGGCAAGAGAAGGCCGAAGGTCCGGCAGGCCTCCAGTTTCTGAGCCCAGGGCCAAGGACCCCAACTCTTTTGTAACGGATTCTGGGGTACAGGGAAGGGGAGCAGGAGAGCCTGCAGCAGTGAAGCCAAAGGCCCTCAACAGGGCCTGGGGGACCAGGGAAGGAAGCACAGGCATGAGGTCCCCAGGCCTGGTGGGAGGGGCTGAGAGTTTGATCACAGCAGTCCAAAGAGGGTGGGGGGCTGGGAAGGGGAGGCAGAGTCATCCCTCTGTAGGTCATCCTTTGTTGGTTGGTTGGTCAGTCTGTGCTTCTTGGGCAGCAGGAGAGGTTATTTGGCAGCTTTGGCCTCACGTCCCTTGACAATGCCATCCATCTCCTCATCTGAGCTTTCACCAGCCAATGGCAGGTCCGCACACCTGGGGGCAGAGGCAGAGGTCAGAGGGCTGGCTAGGGTGGCCCAAGCACAGCTCGCACATTCCACAGCGACCCCTAGAGAGAAACTGGTGCCTAACATCCCATGGGACAAACTATGCAGGGCCTCTGGGCCACTGTCTCCAGGCAGGACAGGGCAGCTACCAGAGCAGGCTGCTAAAGCTTTCCCTTCACCCCACGACACTAGCAAACACCTCCAGGAAGTCAGGACAGACGAAAAGGGGGGAAGGCAGAAGAATAGATGGAGTCGCCTCCCACAAAATGCCACCCTTTGTGCAACTAAGTATAAGACGGGAAACCGAGAGCTGCAGACCCAGTGTGCGCACACCGGCGCGTTCTTCCATCACCTGGAGAACATGAAATTAACCACTGATGAGAACGTCTGCTCGTGCTGACTTGGCTTTGAGAGAGGACTGTCATGAAAAGGTGGCAGAAATGAGGGTGGTGTGAGGGGAAGACCCCTGCCTCAGCCATTTCCCGCCTCCTGGACATCAACATGCCCTGGAGAAAGGAGGAGGCCCCTCTCTGTCCAGAGGCCCAGTGAGGTGACAGCAGCCTCTGCCAGCGAGCGCTCTCCCTGCACCAGGGCCAGTCCGGGGCTGCCTCTGCACAGCAGGGTGGGAGCAGCCCCACCAGCAGACTTCCCAGCAGGATGGGCTGAAAGACCCAGAGTTCATGGTTTATGCCACAGGCTGGGCCACAGCCCGGGAGGCAAGAAGATCCCCGAGGGGCAGCGAGCCCTGAACCCACTTTCTCCCCTCCAGCGCTATGCTCCCTGATGCCCATCTGAGAAAGGGAACCGCTTTCACGGGGGCTTCGCAGTCTGCACAACGAACGAGCATTTGGAGGGAGAAAGACGGGAGAAAGACATGCCAGGTGGAGGCAGGCTCACCTGAGCTTATTCTTCAAGAACGTGATCTCCCGGTTCAAGGCGTCTGCGGTCTCGGTGGCATCCTCCAGCTCGCGCTGCAGCTTCCTGCGGGAGGCGTTGGCCCTCTGGGCCTCCTCCTCAGCCTTCTCCAGCTGCCGCTTGAGCTGCTTCAGGCGGGTGGATGCCTTGTCAGCCTGTGGAGAGCAGTGGCCCAGGTTAGGGGCTCCTGGAGAGTGGGGCCCGCCCAGCCCCACCAGCCCCGGGCCAAACTGCTCTGCCCACAAGCACACCTGGTCCTTGAACTGCTCTGCGTTGTTGTGCTCGTCCTCCACCTGCAGCAACGTGTCCTTCAGCCTCTTCTCAGTCTGAAGCACCTGCTTGCACGCCGCCTGGCGCTCCCTGCCAGGTACAGAGTGGCTCAGAGGGGCACTGTCCTTCAGAGGGTGTGGCCCACAAACCGCAGTCTGGACCGCCCATCCCAGGGCCTCACTGGGACTTGCCCTCTGGGGAGGCCTTGATGCCCAGGTGGCCCTCCTTGACTGAACACCCACTGTGAGCTTGTTTCTCCCATGAGAAGGGTAATCGGCCCCATTTCTCAGATGGGGAAGCTGGGGCTTTGGGAAGGGAAGTGACACCTCACAGCATATGTGCAGTTAGGAAAAAGGGACAGTGAAACTGGGCTCCTGTGTGGCCTCTGTTACCTACAAACAAGTCTCTGTCTTGCTCAGCACAGTTATCCCCCAGGGGGCTGGGAGCCCCTACCTCTCTCTCAGAGAGGGTCCCCAAAACCCACCACTTGGCCATGGACAGCTACTCCAACTCCAAAGGACGCAGGGAAACAGTGGACAGTCCCGTCAGGAGGGGGAAACAGCCCCTGGGACTCAGGGACAGAGAGCTGTTTCCTGACTGGACTCAGGGACAGAACTGCAGATGGGCTTGGACACTGCTCCAGGCCACAGGACAGGGACACCTACTTGGTCTCCTTCTCCAGCTGCTCTTCCAGTTGTGCAATCTTGGCCTCCAGGGCAGTGATGGAGGCCTTGTACTTGGACTTGACAGTGCCCTCCATCTCCTGCAGCTTGGCCTTGAGCTCCTTGTTCTGGCGCTCGAGCTGCTGCCTGGCGTTCTCGTTCTTCTGAGCGTGGCTGCGCTCCAGGTTCAGGTCGGTGTTGATCTGGTCAATCTGTGGGAAGAAGGGCCAATGACCTTGAGGAAAGCTGGGGATCCTGCTGGGGACAGATGGGACAGCCAGGTCCTGCAGAGCTCCTGATAATAGTGGGTCCCCAAAACCTAACAGCAGCTAGGACCTCCTCCCCTAAGCAATCCAGAAGCTGCTGACTTTGCCCAGGTGGTGTTCAAAATCTGAAGCCCTGAGCCGGGTGCAGAGGAAATGCCCGGGAGACCCCTGCCCCGCCCACCTGCAGGTTGGCCTTCTTCAGCCTGTCGATCACCAGCTCCGTGTTGCCCTGAGCCTCCTCCAGCTCCTCCTCCAGCTGGGTGATGCGGGCCTTTAGGCGCTGCTTCTCCTCCAATGCCAGTGCCCTGGGGGAGGCCAGAGGAGTGAGCAGAGGCCCATCCCAGAGGACCCTTTCCCCACAACACCCGCCTCTGCTCACCCTTTCCCGCTGCTGTTGGCAATCTCATCAGCCAGCTCATCCCGCTCCTGCTGGGACTGACCCTTGGCACGCTCGGCAGCTGCCAGTTCCTGCCAGGAGAACCCAGAGTGTGACCTGCTGGGCAAGCCCACACCCTGAAAGGCCACATCTTCCAGGCCGGGCCCTCTGCGCTACCATCCTCCCCAAGCCCTGGCCCTCTCCTCCATGCTTTCCTGGGCCTGCCTCCTCCATGAATGAAGTCCTTTCAAAGGAGCCCCCCTGGCTCACAGGGCTGACTCCTCCCTCTGAGGTCAGAGCTGGGGCCCAACAGGTCTACAAAGCCCACTCATCTGAGTGCTAGGAACCAGGCCTGGTGCCAGGGATGTAGAGATAAGTCAGAAACCATCCTGGCCCAATGGGGCATGTTGGACCCTCTCCACCCCGGGCAGACCAGGCACTGGGAGTGACCAGAAAGATGTGTACTAGGACCTGGGACTGAGGACCCTGACACCCAAGGGAAGGAAAGGGGCCTCACCCCCAGGGCGAGCCCCCATGGACAAAGACCCAAATGTCACCAAAGGAGAGCACAGCCAATATGGCAAGGGCAGAAAAGGGCAGGACTGGATGTGGGGACCAGTGAGAAGCAGAATGCTTCCATATGTGCCTCCTGTGTGACAGACAAGGGGGCACTCAGGGCACAGGAGCCTGGGAGGGACCCCTCCTCTCCAGACCCCATTTCACAGCAGGAGGTAGTGATCACACAGTATCCTTCCCCTCCAGGGAGGCCTGCTACTTAGTGGAGCCCTGCAGGGACTTCTGTCACACAGAGCCACCCCCACTTGTCCCTGGAGCTCCACTACTGTGTTTCCATCCCCACCAAACACTGGCCCAGGGGAGGCCCTGAGCTGCCCTTCCCACCACAGGGCAGCAACCCCAAGTCTCCCACACTTTGGCCCCGGACCACCTCCTGTAGCTGATTCATCTCATCCTCCATGCTCTTCAGCTTCTTCTCGTTCTCCTTGGCCTGAGCCAGGATCTCCTCACGGGACGCACGCGTGTTGTCCAGCTCATGCATGTAGTCCTTTCTCTGGGCCTGGGGGCGGGGAGAAGATGCTTGACACCCCCACCCCAATGGCCACCATCCAGCCCCTGCCCCACCAGCTGCCCTCCCACCCCGTCCAGGCACAGCATGGAGCAGGACCTTCTGGCTACTTTTCACCCTGACACAACCATTAAAAAGGGTGAAGTAGTAGCTAAGGCAAAACATCCCTTTTCCCTCCACCACCTGGGCACTTTGTGGCCATTAGCACCCACCACCTCACCCTGGGCATGGGGGTCTTGGTGCACGTATTGGCCCCACTTTCGAGGCTTCCACTCCCTGCAGCCCCTGGGCACGGGGACCCCGCGCTGCTGCACCTTCCCCAGCTCACGCCTGCTCCCCTGCCAGATCCTCCCGACTACAGGGAGGGTGCAACTCCTTCCTTTCTCCGACTCATGCTGTTGCTTTCATTCCAAAGATTTTGTGAAACACCTTTTTTTCTTCTTGGGCAGAAAATCCCAGATTGACGCTCCCCATGTCAAAGGGTACGACTCTTGGTAGCGTCACCCAGGAGCCAGGAAGAGAATGCCAGCAGCCTGCGGGCATCTGTGCCCTGTGCCCTCACCAACCACGGACGTTTAAATGTGTTCTAGTGCTGCCAGGGGGCTGGGTGTGACAGGGCATCTCAGAACTCTTTTAAATTTGTTGTTTCTTAACTGGGGGTCAGGTGAGATTGTCCCGGTGTGTCCCTGCTCCGGCTGCTCCTCTGAACCTCCAGCCCCAACCTTCTATCATCGCCCATTAGGCTGCAGGGCGTCACCCAGGGCCACAGCAGGTTTCTTCTGAACAGGTGCCACTAGGTGACCCCCTCCCCTGACCCCACTACAGAGCCGGGTGTACACACTCCACTCTCGCACACACTCAAGGCACAGGCCGTCCTGCCATTTAGCCTCTGGGCGTGAGTCTCCAACTGTGAGACAGGCTAAGGGCACCAAGGCCTTCCCTGGCTGGGGGACAGCAGCACTTGCCAGCATTCACTGGACACCCACTAGTGTCCCAGCCCCACACTGAGCCCCAATCCACCAAGTCCGGCCAGCTCCGGTTTGTTCCGGCCTGACCTCACCTGCAGCTTCCGTAGTTGTTTGATGGCTTCGTCGCGGTCCTTGTTGGCAGTGTCCATCTGGGCCTCCAAGTCCTTCAGGTCCATCTCCAGCTTCTTCCAAGCGGCCACGGCCATAGAGCGCTGCTTCCTCTCATCCTCCAGCTCTGCCTCCATCTCCCGCACCTGGGGAGACACCAGCAGCTCCAGAAGCCGGACTCACACACACCCAACTCCAGCTCTGACCCAGGTAGCTTCGGCCAGTTCTGGGATCCATGCAGCCTCCAGTGGCTAATTGGAGGACTGAGCAGAAAACCCTGATAGAGCCACTGACTCCGCCGCCCTTCCTGAGGACAGAAGACTGGAAGAAATGGTCCAGGAGCCCTGGACAATCAGGTGGTAGGATAGAAAAGATGCCTGCCCGGAACATGGGGGCCAGACTGGGGGCATGTCCCTGTCCAGGGGAAGCAGGAGGGACATACACACCTGTCTGACCAGCTGCTGCTTCTTCTCCTCACTCTGCTCATCCCGGCCCTGCAGGTCCTGCTCGAACTGGGCTCTCATGGCCTGCAGGTTCACTTCCAGCCCAAGCTTGGCATCCTCGGTGGCCTGAAGCTGGTCCTCCAGTTCCTCGAGCTGGGTCTTCATCTCTTTGACTTGTTGCTCCAGGGCCCGCTTCGACTTCTCCAGCTCATGGACCTGCCACCCGAAGGAACCAGAGTCATGAGCAGAGGGACAAGAGGCCCCCGAGATCCCTGCCTCAGTGTCCGCTCACCTGGGCGACCTCTGCACTACCCCCTTGGCCCCTCCTGGGACTCACACTCTTGCCCAGGTCGTCCTTGGAGCTCCTGAGGTCCTCCATCTCCATGCGGAACTGCTTGTTGAGCTGCTCCAGCTCTGCCTTCTGCTCCACGGCCTCCTCCAGGGCCCGGGCCAGTGACAGCACCTTGGTCTCCCTCTCACGGGCTTCTGCCTTAGCCCGGTCCCGCTCCTCCGCATACTGGGCTGAGATGGTCTTCTCCTTGGCCAGGAGCTGGGACACATATGGGAACCATGAAGCTCAGGCTACAAACTCCTAGAAAAAGCTCAGAACCTGTAGACCATCCAGACCCAACTCCTTGAGGAAGGAAGAGCATGGTGCTGGCTCTGAGGGGTGGGGACCAGGAAGAGCAAGAACCAGGTGGCTCTGACACCTAGCTTTAAAGTCTGTCCTTGTTACCACTTAATGAGAGTTCTTTATGTCACGCAGCACCCCTCCCATGAGAACCCACAGGAATCTTCACTTGTACCCAATGGAGAAAGGCTTTGGAAGTTCTTCTGAATGAATGGACGGCAATTACCTTGAAGCCTGTGACTCTGGCTTCTTAGAAGCCTGAAGCCCAAGTGTGGCTGCCTCCAAGTACGTGAGTTTAAATCCCTTGGTCCACGTTGTGCGTGGGCTACCTTAGTTTGATCTTGTATTCCAACCTTCCTATGCCCTTTGCACAAACTATTTCTCAAAAGGACCAGGGAGGAAATGCTTTAGACTTTAGGGATCGTGTCTGCGTAGTAACGATGTGACTCTGCCCTGACCACACGACAATGGCCTGAGGTGACAGGAGAGGAGTCAGCAGGGCTGAGCCCCAGACACCTCCATTCACTATGATGAGCACCAGGTGGCAGGACCCTGGGCCCTGAGCCCCAGCTTATTCCATTTTGCTGTCCCAGCCCTGTGTCGGCATGACTGTAAGCCGCCTCAGATCCTCTAGAGTGAGGAGGAGGTATTGACACGTGAACCAAAATTCAAAGTACTTAAAATTGCATCATTATAAAAAGTGTGAATAATATAAGAAATAGAAGGCAGAACATTCGGTCCTGAACCTGCGGTGTGAAGACGGCCTGTTTGGAGCACATTCCTGGCAGACCCCTCAACCAGCAGGAAACCCAGCCAGACCTCCCAGTGCCTGCAGGAGGTGATGGGATCCCAGGGCCCGCTCCTGCTCAGTGGCCTTGGCCTGAGGCAATGGAGCTAGAGGAAGAGAAGAAATGAGGAAGAGCTGCAGGTAGCACACACCTGGTCAAACCTCTTCTGCTTCTTCTCCAGCTTGGAGATGCTCTGGCGCTGGTCCTCAAGGTCCATGACCTTGTGGTCCAGCTCCCGCTGCAGCCTCATCTTGGTCTTCTCCAGGTTGTCATAGGCGGTCACCTTCTCCTCGTAGCGCTGCCTCAGCCCCTCCAGGTCCTTCTGGATCTTCCTCTTGGCTTCCTCCACAGTCTCGAGACACCCCACGCCATCCTCCATCTTCTTCTTCATGTCAGTCACCTGGCCAGGAGCAAGGAATGAGGACACACCCAGGATGGCACCTGCTCAGGGAACAACCTGTGCCTGAGGCAGCTGGGAGCTGGGCTGCTCCTCATGAACACAGACCAGGGAGCCAGCCCAGGTGTGGGGCTCCCCCCTCCAGCAGGGCAGACACACGAACGTTGTGCCGAGGGCGCTTTCTCACTCCATGGAGCTGAGGGCAGGTCAGCTCTGGAGGGCCTCTCTGCTGAGACCTGCTCCAGGCTGCTAGTTTAGAAGGACCGATGCCCAAGCAGGAGCGTCCTTTACTCACTGTGCTCTGACAGCAAGGCCAGTGTGCACTGGGAAGTGTGACAACGGGGGGTGTGAGGACCATGGGCACCTGCCCTACAGCCGCACCCCTTTCCACATGGACAGAAAACTGCCACCCACAGCATGTGCTAGCTAATCCTACCCAGACCTTGGAGTAGACCGTGGGCCCATCCTGTGTGTAGGGCACATCTGGCCTGGCGCACTTAAGTCCCAGGACAGGATCTAGAATGGGGGCTCTTGGTCCACTTTAGGCCATGGACCCGATACAGTGTAGAGCAGACTGGGACTCCTCCTCCTCATCCCGATGTGACACACAAAATACACAGGACGATGGGGAAGGTGAATGCAGACAAAGGCGGCTGTCAGAGGTTCCACTGAACTGGTGAGTGACCCTCGTGCCTCTCCATGAGCACCATGGACAGCAGCCCCCTGAAGTGCAGGGAGCTCAGTGACACCCCCGAAGCCCTGCCATGTCTGGACGTGGTGACAGTGACCTGGTTCCTAGTGACCAGGGCGACAAGCACTGGGACTGCTCATGGTCTACATTTATCAGGAAGCAAATGCTAGATGGTCTTCTCCTCGGCCAGGAGCTGGGACAGATATGGGCGCCATGAGGCCAAGACAATGAAGTCTTACAAGGGGCTCTGAAACTGCAGACCATCCAGACCCAACTCCTTGAGGAATGAAGAGCATGGTGCTGGCTCTGAGGGGTGGGGACCAGGAAGAGCAAGCACCAGGCGGCTCTGACACCTAGCTTTAAAGTCTGTCCTTGTTATCACTTAATGAGAGTCCTTTATGTCACAGAGCACCCCTCCTCAAGAACTCAGAGGAAACACTGCATGGACCCAATGTGGAAAGGCTTTGGAAATTCTCCTGAATGAATGGATGGCATTTACCTTGAAGTGTATAATACTTGCTACTTAGAAGCCTATGACTCTGGCAGCTTAGGAGCCTGAAGCCTGAGTGAGGCCATTTCTAAGGATGTGCGATTAAATGCCCCTGGTCCACTCTCTCAGCCGGCCACCCCTCGTTCGGCCTTGTATGCCACCTTCCCGCTCCCAATGCCCGGAACTCTCCCTTAAAGCCCCGGAAGGAAATGCTGTAGCCCTTGCAGGCTGAGTCTACACAGCAAGCACGTGAGTCTGCCCTGACAGCACAACAACAGCCTGAGATGACAGGGGAGGAGGCACCGGGGCCCACTCCAAGACACCTCCTTCTAAAATGATGAACACTGGGTGGCTGAGGCAGGACCACGAGCCCCGACTTGTTCTATTTCGCTATCCCAGCCCTGTGTCAGCACATCGGAGCTGCCTCAGTTCCTTCAGAGCAGGGGTGTCAAACTCATTCTCTCTAGGGGCCTCATCAGACTTGCCATTGCCTTAAAAGGGCTCAAATGATTTCAGGACTATGTAACTGTAACTACTCCTTAACTTCTAAGGAACTGAAATGATATTCAGCCCTTTGAAGGCAACCTCAAGGCTGATGTGGCCCCCAGGGAAGATGAGTTAGACTCCCTTGCTTTAGAGTGAGGATGAGGTATTGACACATGAACCAAAATTCAAAGTATTTAAAATCAGATCATTTAAGAAATGTGACAAATATAAAAAGCAGAGAGCAGAAAACTCATTCCTAAACCTGCGGTGTGCAGACGCCCAGTTCCAGGCTCTACCTGAGCAGGCCCTTCAGTAAGCAGGGAGCCCAGCCAGACCTCTGAGGACCTGCTGGTGGTGATGGGTTCCCAGGGCCCGAGTCATGTCCATGGCCTTGGCCTGAGGCCCTGCTCTGTGAGGAAGAGAGGAAATGAGGAGCAGTGTGCCCACGACTGCACACCTGGTCAAACTTAATTTGCTTCTTCTCCAGGTCAGACAGTCTCTGCCGCTGGTGGTGCAGCTCCTGCTGCAGCCGCGTCCTGTCCTTCTCCAGCCTGTCGTAGGCGGCCACCTTCTCCTTGTAGCGCTGCCTCAGCCCCTCCAGGTCCTTCTCCAGTGTGCTCTTGTCCTCCTTGGCAATCTCGAGGCACCTCACACCATGCTCCATCTCCGTCTTCAAGTCACTCACCTGGCCAGGAGCAAGGAATGAGGACACACCCAGAATGGCACCTGCTCAAGGACCACACCTGTGCCTGAGGCAGCTGGGAGCTGGGCTGCTCCTCAGGAACAGACACCAGAGCCAAACCAGGTGTGGAAGACCCCCTTCCACCAGGCAAGAGGGACAAACTTTGTGGGAAGGGCAGGGAAGTTCTGGAGGGTCTCTCCTCAGTGCCCTGCTCCCAGCTGCTCCCTTACAAATACCAAGGCCAGACAGGAACATCCTACAGTTCACTCACAAAGTGAGCCGGGCAGGGACCTCTGGGGAATATGTGTTCTGGGAGCACAAGAACCCCAGGCACCTGCCCCGCAAACTCTTCTCTTTGCACATGGACAGAAAACTGTCACCCACAGCATGTCCTAGCTGCTCCTACCCAGACCATGGAGCAGACCATGGGCCCACCCAGTGCGTAGGGCACATCTGGCCTGGGGCACTACCTCCCAGGACAGGATCTAGAATGGGGGCTCTTGGTCCACTTTAGGCCCTGGACCCTGTGGCAGCACAGAGCAGACTGGGACTCCTCCTCCTCATTCCAATTTGACAGAAAATATGCAGGATGATGAGGAAAGTCAATGCGGACAAAGGCGGCTGTCAGAGGTTCCACTGAACTGATGAGTGACCCACGTGCCTCTCCGTGAGCACCACAGAGAGCAGCCTCCTGAAGTGCAGGGAGCACAGTGACACCCCTGAAGCCCTGCTGTGTCTGGACATGGTGACTGCTGGTTCCTAGTGACCAGGACGACAGGCACTGGGACTGCCGTGACTTGTGGTCTACATTCATCAGGGAGGAAATGCTAGGTGTCAGCTGGAGACTGGTGAAGGCAAGGGTGTTCAGTCTGGTCCCCCAAGGTCATGGATCCCAGAATTCTACCGGGGGACCCAGGGCTAAAAGGTCTGGGCTGGAGAGGATGGCAACTCCCTGGAGACAAAGGGTTCCTGGCTCAGGCAGACCAGGGCAGACCCATCCTGCAGAATCTGAGCAGTGTCCCTGAGCCACCTGGCACCCCGTGGGTCTCGAGGGGGATCTAAACCAAACCTGGGTGAACAGGGTGGCAACCTGCTTCTCCAGGTTGTGCTTGGCCTCCTCCTCCTGCTCCAGCTGCTCCTTCAGGGACCTGTTCTCCTCTTCCACCTGCTGCAGCCTGGTTCTCAGGCCCTGCTTCTGCCAGTCCTGCTGCTGCAGCAGCTCCTACTTTGAAGACAAGAGGCATGCAGGGCTCAGGAGGTGCAGCGCCAGACCCTCACTGTCCCCACAACCTTGGTGGGAGGGAGCGGCTGGTACCTCCAGTCAGGACTGAGATGGTGAAGACCCAGTGGGGAGCCGGGGGGACCCAGAGACCCCATGGATGCAGGGGAGGACTCAGAACCAGAGGAGCCCTGGGACGGGACACCCAGAGGTCTGGCAGGGGCTGCCATGTGGGCACCGCGTCCTTCCAGGGAAGGTCCAGCTGTAGAGCACTGCTGCCCCCGCTCACCTGCGTGTCCTGCAGCTGGGACTCCACAGTGGAGACGTCCTTGGTGAGCTGGCTGCACTTCTTGTCAGACTGCCTCAGAAGGCCCGTCACTCTGCCCAGCTCCGCCTGCTCAGGGATGGGACAGACAAAGGCCCAGGGTCTGGAGCATGACCCCTCTGGCCCCACCTGGGTGCCTCTAGGCTAAGGTGGACCTGAGTCCCAGGCCAAACCCAGAAGCCTCGCTGAGTGGCCACTGTGAAGCATGACACAGGGCAGGAGTCCTAGAGAACTGGAGGCGCTCCACACCCAGGAGCCCCTGAAGGCACCACCGCCCAGCCCCGGGTCCCAGCAGAGGCCTCACCTGCAGCTGTGTGCGCACTTGCTCTTCCTCCTTGAACTTCACCTGCAGCTCCTGCAGCTGGGCCTCTGCTTTCTGCTGCCTGTGCTCTGAGTCCCGTTTTTCCTGCAGGAGGACCTTCACCTCTTTGGCCAGCTCCCCTCTCTCATGCTCCAGAGTCTGCTTGGCCTTCTCAAGGCTGGCTTTCACCTGGCGGGGGAGGAAGCAGAGCTGTGAAGAGGGGCATCTGGGCCCTGCCACGAAGCTGCTCTTGCCAGTGTCCCAGGAAGGACCGCGGCGTTCGCAACCAGACACGGGGGCCTCTGCAGTAACAGGGATGTTGGGCAAGTTTGGGAGGTGGCGTGCTAGCAAGTGTCCTGGTCTCAGAAGTCCCACACCTGGCCTGTCCTCACTCAACTGGAAGATGACACCCAGCCTGCATCCTCCTCTCTGAAGGCCTCAGAGTGGATGAGAACATGCTTGGGTGTTGGCCAAAGTGACAGGGACATCAGGAGCCGTGACCCCACACTGCGGAAGACCGCCCGGAACCTGGGCCCCGCTTCCATGCGTGCCTAACGTGTGCCACGCAAAGGGGCCTCCCAGGGCACAAGCACCCGGGAGAGACGCCCACCTGTCCAGGCCCCATTGCACAGCAGGGGGTGGTGGTGACACACAGTCTCCTTCGCCCCAGGGAGCCCTGCTACTCAGTGAAGCCCTCAGGGGACTTCTGTCACAGAGAGCCACCCCCAGTCCTCCCTGGAGGTGCCCTGGCTTGTTTCCAGCCTTGCCCAAGGCTGGCCCAGGGGAGGCCCTGAGCTGCCCCTGCTGCCCAGTGGGCATCGACCCTGAGTGCCCCCTGACCCCAGACTACCTCCTGCAGATGAATCGTCTTGGCCTCCATGCTCTTCAGCTTCTTCCGGTTCTCCTTGGCCTGGGCCAGGATCTCCTCAAGGTGAGTTCGCACCCCCGGCAGTTTCCTCATGCAGTCCTTCATCTGGGCCTGGGGACGGGGAGGAGACCTTGGCACCAGCAAGCCGGTGGCCACCCACCTGCCCCAGCCCCACACTCTGCCCTCTAACTACATGGCATAGTTGGGCATAGACACTCTGCTCTCTAACGCACTCAAAGGCACACGCGGTCCTGCAGGTTTGCTCTCCGACTCTTTTTCCCCCTCAGCCTCTGGGCCTGAGTCTCCATCTGTGAGACGGCTACGGGCACCCAGACCTTTCCACCTTGGGGAGAGCAGCACTTCCCAGCATCCTCTGGACACCCCACTAGTGTCACAGACACAAGCTGAGCGAGTGCCACCGTGTGTGACCAGCTCTGGTTTGTTCCAGGCCGACCTCACCTGCAGCTTCTGAACCTCTTCAGTGTCTTCGTCATTGTTCTTGTTGGGTGAGTCGGTCTGGGCCTGCAGGTCCTTCAGGTCCATCTCCAGCTTCTTCCCAGCGGCCATGGCCATTGAGCGCTGGGTCCTCTCCTCCTCCAGCTCTGCCCTTAGGTCCTGCACCTGGGAGGAGACGCCAACAGCTCAGGAGGCCAGAGCCCCTCACAGACCCGCCTCCAGCTCTCAGCCCAGGTGCCTTTGGCCCTGCTGGAGCCACTGAATCTGCGCCCTTCCAGAGGACAGAGGACTGCAAGAAATGGTCAAGGCACCCTGGACAATCCAAGCACAGAAGGACAGAAGGGAAGCCTGCTGAAACGTGCATGGTACCTCTCCAGGGGGAGAGGGAGGGACATATGCACCTGTCTACCAGGTGCTTCTTCTCCTTGTCACCCTGATCATCCTGACCTGGTCAGACCTGTTTCAATTGACCTTCAAGGCCAGAAGCTTCACCTCTAGCCACAGGTTGGCTACCTTGATGGCATGAAGCTCATCCTCCAACTCCTGGAGCTGGGCCCTCACCCCTTCCATCTGCTGCTCCAGGGCCTGCATAGAATCCTTCACCTCATGGAGCTGCCACCCAAGGAAATCCAAGTCACAACCAGAGTGACAAGAGGCCCCCCAGTCCTCTGCCTCAGTGTCTGTTCAACCATTAGTCCCCTGTACTGTCCCCCTCGGCCCCTCGTGGGACTCACACTCTTGCCTATGCCAACCTTGTGGCCTGTTGCCAGAGTGGGCAGTGAGGGGCCGGGTCTCTGCTGCTGCCCTCTGGGACAGATGCAGGGGCCAAGGGGGGTCAACCCAACGTATCTCTCTGTGTGCTGGGCTCTGCCCACTCTGTTCCAGGGAAGTGGCTCACCTCCCTCCAGCGCACTCCTGCTGTCCTGTAGGGTCAGAAGGAGAAGACGACCAGACAAGGAGACAGACATCTGAGAGGTCTGATCCAAATGAGCAATAAAACCAAACACAGAAGAACAGACAGGAAGGGATGTTTTGGAGATTTCTTGAGGCTGGAACATTTGTGTTTACTAATCAATAAAGCCAACGCTGACCGTGATCTATGGCAGCGTCCCCTCCTAGTTCCCTCACCAAGTGCTCTCACACATTTCATGGGGTGGGCACCATGGTGGCTCCCATCTGACAGGGGAGGGAACCGGCAGAAAGTGCAGGTTTTCCTCTGCACTCAGGCTAGCGCAAGGCTTCACAGCAGTGCAGGGGCCGGCACTGGACCCGCAGTCTCTCTGACCCAGATCCTGTGTCCATGAGGACCATGCTCTACTCTCTCTGACACACCGCATGCTCACCCGTGTGCATCTGTTTACTTGTCAGTGACCCTCTCATTCCCAAACTGTCTTGCACTGCATGCCCTCTTCTCTGTCTTGATAAGTTTCCTGGTGCTGTCACTTCCCAAAATCTGTGCCCTCCTTGCTTCTGCAAGATCCTTGTCCCCTAGGGGCCTGGGGGCCTGCCGCCCTGGCTATATCCCTGCAGTGGCCAAGCCCTCCTGAGGAGGACCAGTCCTCTCTGCTGTCCTCCCCCGCTGCTGGGCAGTATCTTCTTTCTAATTCTTGATGAAAAGAGTGCAAAAACATTCTTCTTACATAAAAATTTTGCCTGCATTTACGATCACTTCCTTTAAGATATTTCTAGAAGTAGAATGACTGCATCAGAGCATATCAATATATAAAAATGCTTTCGTACCTAGAGCCTCACATTTATGCAAGCAAATCGTATCACTTTACACTTATTCTCACAGGATATGAGGGTGTCTATGTCTACTATCTTCCTCTTCAATAGTCTTTTCTAAAGAAACAGATTTCTTACGGTAAATGATGTACAGCAGGAATTTGCCGTCTCCCCCATGGGATGAGTGCTGTCCAGGAGCGCTCAGTCCTTTCCGCCCTCGTGCGTCTGGTCTCCAGACCCCGTTCCTTCTGTCCAACAGAAACTCTGCACCCACTCAACCCTAAGTCCCCACCCCCACCTCCCAGCCCCTGGAACCTGCCACCCACTTCTTGTCCCCCTGGACTGGACCCCTGTAAGTACCTCACGCACGAGGAATCCTAAGGTATTTGTGTTTCTGTGGTGGCTTGTTTCACTTAGCACCGGGTCCTCAAGGTTTGTGTGTGTGATAGTGCAGGAGGGTGCAGCCAGAGGGCCCCCAAAAGAAGGATTTGTAATGGGGTTCAGAACTCAAGGTGTCCAGGAAATATTAGAAAGATATATAGGGTGTCCTCACCCTCCACCACAGGTGTGAGTTGGGGGAAGGGCCACGTGGAGCAGGGCCATTCAGAGCTGTTTTGCATAACAACTAACCTTTGCAGCTAACCTCTGGCGTGGTCATTTAACATATCTATAACATTTAACTGGTTGCATAGATATGTTAAATAGCTGTGGCCATACTCTGAGCCAGGGGAATGGAAGGAACTTCCCCCCAAGATGTCACTGGGAGGCAACTCCCCCTAGTTATAGCACAAACGTGAGAGCTTGGAGATGATTGGCTCCACGACATGGGGCCACCCCTGCACAGACTCATGGATAACAGCCCAATAAATCTAGAAGGATATTTAAACCCAGACTCGGCAGCCCTTGAAAAGAAGCACGTGGCTGCAGCAATGTAAGGAGGACCATGCACTTTTGGCACAGGGGGACCCATGCCCCCCCAGAGCCATGAGAAGAATCACCACGTGGCTTTACCAGACAACCACCACACAGCTTTAGCAGAGGACCACCAACCAGCTTTAGCTAGAGATCCTGGCAACACAGCTGATGGTGCTGAGAACCGAGGAAGGTCTACCAGCCCAGCATGGATTACTGGGAAGAACCGGGAGCTGCCTGAGCCATGGACTTCTATTTCTTTTCCTGAGATATGGTACCCCAAACTGGGCAAAGGGGGGAAGGTAGGACTGTGTGTGTTTTGGGGGGTTTTAAGGGAATTTCAGATTTTGACAAAGACATTAAGTCATTACTCTTAAGTCTGTATAACTTGAATAAATAATTCCTTTTTTTTTTTTCACCAATCTCTAACATGGAGAGCTATAATTCTCTGGTGAAGGGAAAGATGAACCTAGTACAGGGAGACCCCAGGAGAAGGAGTGGTAGCTTTAAAGTAATACAACTACTTGTACATACTCAGTAAAAGCCCACCAAAACTAGCCAGGAAGGATCTGCCCTATAAGAATAGAGTCCCTCCAGCCCATGAGGTCAAACTCTGCTTGGAGTTGGCCTGCTCCCATGTTCTCTTCTATAAACTCTCAGTGTTTGATACAATTCTTTGTCCCAATCACTAAGAACCTGGTTACCTGTGCCCACCTGTGACAGTAGCATGGGCCAGGATTCCCATCCTTTTTAAGGCAGTAATAGATAGATAGATAGATAGATAGATAGACAGACTTTGAGAGTACATTCATTAAGGCTGGGGACAGTGAAAGGAGGAAGGCCTTAGGATAGAAGGAGCAACAGGAGAGCCCAGGCAGGGCTGCTGTCAGCTGACCGGGACGTCAGACAAGAGATGGCCCTGGAGACAGGGTCGGTGGTGAGCCCAGGAGGAGCGTCCATGCCCATCGTTCCCCTGGTGACCAGTCTCAGAGTGACCCTTAGAGTAGAGGACACAGGCACCCATGGGGGAAGAAAGGCGTGGGTGTGTCCCCCGAAAGGGAGGGCACCAAGGCAGTGATACTTTTTTGCGAATTTCTAGGGAAGTTTATTTGAGCCCAACTGAGCTCTGGAGAACAAAGTTTTGCACTTTCTTTTCTGCTTTTGAAATTCAGGAGGGGACACAGGGGAGATCACATGGAGGTGGGAGAAAGCAAGGTGCAGACTGGATAGCAGGAAGTTAACAACACTTACAATTATTTCAAATGTGTGTTAACCTAGATGCACAGGACAATGGACAGGGCTTCCTTATAGAGAAAATAAATCTTTTACTAAAATGTTAATTGCTTGGGGTCTGCCCATCCACCATGACCTGCCCAGTTAAGAATTTATGATGAACTTCCGGCCAAGATGGAGGCATAGGTACACACACTGTGCCTCCTTGCACAACCAAGATAGGGACAACAACAATTTAGAAACAGAATAACAACCAGAACTGACAGAAAATTAAACTGTTTGGAAGTTGGACAACCAAGACGTTAAAATAGACACATTCATCCAGACCAGTAGGAGGGGTGGAATCGGGCAGCAGGGCTCAGGTCGCAGCACAGAGAGCAGAGAGTGATGGCATGTAAGGCATCTGGGGCACTCAAGACCACAGCAGGTGGACCCTGAGCGGGCAAGCACCACCAGGTAGACCCTGGCTGAGGGGTGGCAACTGGCAGACCCAGCCAGGGAGGAATGGTGAAGCAAGGCTCTGTGGACAACCCAGGATCCCAGAGCTGGGAAATAGAGCCTCGGGACACTGATTGAAAACACCTTTGGGAGTTGAGGTGCAGGGGGACACTCCCAGCCTCACAGGAGAGGTTGTTGGAAAGACCCATGGGGTTCACAAGCCCACACACATGGGAATCAGCACGAGAAAAGATCCAGTTGCTTGAGGGAAGTGGCAGAAGGGATTGAAGTCCACAGAGAGCGGAGCAAGTGCCATTGTTCCCTCTTGGAACCTGCCTCCACATAGAGCATCACAACCCAGCCACTGGGTTGCCTCACCCTGGTGAATACCTACGGCTCCGCCCCTCATACATAACAGGCGTGACCAGACCACGCCCCCTCCAAAAAAAAAGATGGCTCAAACAGAAGAAATGAAAGCCCCAGAACCAATCCTTTTAAGCAACCAAGAGATAGCCAACCTATCAGATGCACAGTTCAAAACACTGAGAATCAGGATGCTCAAAGAATTGGTTGATTTCGGTCACAAATTAGATGAAAAAGTGAAGGCTACAATAATTGAAATTAAGAAAAATGCACAGGGAACCAATAGTGATGGAATGAAAGGCGGGTCTCACATCAATGGAGTGGACCAGAAGGAAGAAAAAAACATACAATCAGGAAAGAATGAAGAAATAAGAATTTAAAAAAAATGAGGAGAGGCTTAGGAACCTCCAGAACATCTTTAAACATCTCAACATTTGAATTATAGGGGTATAGAAGGAAAAGAGAAAGAGCAACAAGTGGAAAACTTATTTGAACAAATAAGAAAGGAGAACTTCCCCAATCTGGCCAAGGAAATAGACTTCCACAAAGTCCAGGAAGCTCAGAGAGTCCCCAAGAAGTTGGACCCAAGGAGGAACACACCAAGGCACATCATAATTACATTAGCCAAGATTAAAATGAAGGAGAGAATCCTAGAAGCAACAAGAGATAAGGAGACAGTAACCTACAAAGGAGTTCCCATCAGACTGTCAGCTGATTTCTCAAAACAGACCTTGCAGGCAAGAAGGGGCTGGAGAGAAGAATTCCAAGTCATGAAAGGCAAGGACCTACATCCCAGGTTGCTCTATCCAGCAAAGCTTTCATTTAGAATGGAAGGGCAGATACAGTGCTTCTCAGAGAAGGTCAAGTTAAAGGAGTTCATCATCACCAAGCCCTTATTTTATGAAACAGTAAAGGGACTTATCTAAGAAAAAGAAGATAAAAAACATGTATAGTAAAATGACAGCAAACTCACAATTATTAACACCCACACCTAAAACAAGAACAAACTAAGCAAATAACTAGAATAGGAACAGAACCACAGAAATGGAGATCACATGGAGGGTTAGCAACAGGGGAGTGGGAGGAGGAGAGAGGGAGAAAAGGTATGGAGAATAAGTAGCATAGATGGTAGGTAGAAAATAGACAGGGGGAGGGTGAGAACAGTATGGGAAATGTAGAAGCTAAAGAACTTACGACACATGGACATGAACTAAAGGGGGGAATGTGGATGGGAGGGGGTGTGCAGGGTGGAGGGGAATGAAGGGGACATAATGGGACAACTATAATAGCATAATCAATAAAATATATTTTTAAAAAATAATCTATGATGAGATCACCTCGTGCAGTTCTTTTTTCACAGACCCCCCTTTTCACCCACAGACCCCCTTTCAGTCACAAATGAATCTGAAGGAGGCATTGACGCCCAGCCTTTGGGTGGATGCTGTGGTCTCAGCACTAGAAGGCTCATCCCTAGGGAGGCTCAGGGTGGACATGGGCTTGACCCCTGGGGATGGGGCCACACTGTCACCATGGGGTCTGAGTTGAGGTCGAATTGACCCCAAACTCGAAGGGGAGGTGAATGGAAGGCAGTCAGGTCGTATGGCTGTCACCAGGGAAAAGCAAAGTGAATAATTTCCATTCTACACCCTGTCCACTCCCTGCTGCCCCTCCTGTCCCTGGGCCCTCCATCCACCGCCACAGCTGGGCTCAGTCCTCAGGTGGGACCCATCACCTGGAATACAGCCACCAGATTCACTGGCAATTGAATAATTCTATTTGTTTTTCCTGTGGATCTCAATGAAAAGCTCTTTCTGGCAGAAAACAGATAAAACTAGGGCTCAGATTTCACACACATTTCCCCACTGCTTCAGTGTACTCTTGACAGTTCCGTCACATTTCTGGGGGTTCCATTTATTTCCCCCGTCTCCTTCCTGCAGCCATGATGTCTTTATATGAGGAGGGAGAGGAACAGTGGAACGTGAAAAAACATGGGTCCCCCTCTTAAAACGTGATGACGATGGCCAGGCCTTGAGCAGGACACTCCATAGCCTCCCCTCCCCCAGATGGACAGCCCAGGTCTGGGGCTCCACCCAGTTCCCTGCAGCCCCTCCCACTGCTGCTCACTGAGGCTGCCAGGTGCAGTGCTCACTGCCCAGAGGCTCCTGTGAGGGCACATGACGGGCGCTGCTCCTTCTGCCCGCTGTGGGCACCCACTGAGTGTGTCCCACATTAGCCAGAAGATGAAGATGGAGACACAGAAGAGGAGGGGGAGAGGAAGGAGAGGAATCAAAAAGCTCCTATGAAACCAATCAATCGATGGATCCATCAATCCCAAGGGAATCTAAAGGTAACCCAGAAGGCACCAAGTACAGATGTGGGGGAAGAAATGATAAAACCAATGCTGAGATGCAGAAACATTTCGAATCAAGACGCAAACCCCAGAAGCCAGGAGGGGAGAGTGTGAGTGATTGGGCTCTGAAGAGTTAACTCTGCAGCGGCTGCCACCACCCAGTCAGACCCACGGGAGACCAGGAGCCACTGTGAGCAGCACGCCCGTAGACAAACGGTGACGGTCCCCCTCCCACTGGACCCTGCGGGTCAACGTGAAATGACCGACACCAAAATTTTATCATGGGTGACAGTGTCGTCCCTACACCGAAAAAGGTTGCAGGTTCGATCCCTGGTTGAGGCACATACAGGAGGCAACTGACCCATGCCTCTCTCTCACACGGGTGCTCCTCTCTCTCTCTCTCCCTCTCTATCTCTCTCTCTTCCTCTCTGCCTTCCCTGCTACCACTCTCTCTAAAATTAAAAAACATATCCCGGGTGAGGGTGAAAAAATACATAAGTAAAAAATAAAATGGGTGAGCGATAAATTCTCAGAGCAGTGACTTGCCCGGCATCTCACAGCTCTCAGAAGCCGGTGTAAAGGCCAACGCCTCCCGTTGCTGCTGGTACTTAGGAGGGAAGCGTGGCTTCAGTAACTCAGAAGGCTCCAGGTTTCCCTCTCCTGCATAAACACCGAGACGGAAGGCAAGACTCCTCCAGTCGCAGCCACATCTCCAGCCAGTTTGTTAAGGTGACAAAGCGGGGGCCGTACAACGCGCCCACCTCACTCCCTTCGTCTGGGACTGTGAAGGGTGTGGAAAGAGATTCGGAACCGGGCGTAGGCTGAGAAGGCACAAACTGCCCCCCACCACACACACACACACACACAAGCCTAGCAGCACAGTGATGGAGAGTCACTTTGCATGTCCATATTAGCAGACTAGCTTCGTAATAATTCTGAACAGTTTGTTAGATACCAGGAGACGGGTGTGACTCTGACCCACGAAGTAGCTGAGAGGAGGCTCCCCCTGTTACAGCACCTGCCTGAGAGCTTGCAGATGGGTCTCTCACCTCCACAGGGCCATGCCTGCCAGGACTAACAATGGCAGCCAGAAAGGCAGAAAATTCCGGAGTGCCAGCAGGTATAGCTAATTGTGAGAAAAGTCGGAAATGGGGTGATGCACAAGGACGCAGGCTGGGATTCAAAGTAAACTGGGGGCAGCCCTGTGTAGCGGAAGGTGAAAGGGCTGTTGCTGGGCGGCCATGGGGAGGTGCTGCGTGGTCTGGGGTTTGGAACTGGAGATCACGGCTACGGGGCTGATGGTGCTGGGAACCATGACACGCCTGCCCAGCCGAGCACCAGTTACTGGGAGGAACCGGGAGCAGCGAGCCGCAGACTTCTGTTCCTTTTGTTCTGGACGCCAGTGCTTCTCACTGGCCTGGGCTGAGATGCACCTGCCTGGGCAAAGGGCGAGGGCAGGACTCTGTGTGTGTTTGTGTGTGTTTGTGGGTGTTTTCGAGTGTTCAAAGGTAATGACACTTAACAGCAAAAATCAGCCATTACTCTAAACCTGTATAACTTTTAATTAAGTACTTCCCTTTTTACTAAATTCTGGCATTGAGAGCCACAATTTTTTATTGGTGGCGAGCACAAGAATCCCAGAGCAAAAGACCCACTGTGGGTTTCTGTTTCAGGACCAACTCTCCCTTCTCCCCTCACCCCATGGCCCCAGCTCCAGCCAAGGGCAGGGGGCAAAGTCCGGGCCATCTTCCTGCTCAGTCTGCCATCACGGTTCCCTGGGCTGGTCACTCCCCGCTCAAGGCCTCAGTTTCCCCACTCCTCACGGCCCAGCACTGAGCTGACGGTGGGAGAAACAACCTCTCAGGTTCCCAAATCTCAAAAGCAACCTTTTGCCCCCACCAGTCTCAGCAGCAGCCCTGGGGAGGCAGCCTCAGGATGGCCGGAACCCCACAAATGGGGGCAGGGGGAGGGCTGGGTCTGACCTGCCTGTCCTTCTCTACCTCCTCTACTTTGGGTAGGGGACCCGAGAGGGGGGAAATTCTAGTAAATAGTTATGAGCCTGGCAGGTGACACATATGGTAAAGTGTGGTTTCAGCAGCTGCAGAAAAGGCCGATCCTGACTCCCAGGAGACACAGTCGGCCTCCTGGGGCACAGCTGGGGACGTCCAAGCCATTGTGTCCCAGGGAGACACAGAAGCCTGCCCACCTGCCCAGGGACAGCTCACTGCCCAGGGGAAGAATGCTACAGTTGTTTTTTGAATCTAATTTTTCCCTGAATTCCAAAACCCCTCACCGCCCACACCTTCTTCTCTGGTACAGAAAGGCTGACTTGGAAGGAAATGTCACACTGTCCAGACCGTGAGGCCATCAGCCTGATTCTTCTCAGACCACGGTTTCTGGGGTGTGGACAACTGTCTGTTCCCGTGTGCCAGCGCACAGCTCTGGGGACCGTGGTCTCTGGGGAACTGACGGTGTTTATGCCCAGAAGCCCCACCTGCCACGGGCTCCTCTGAATAAAGCGCCCACAGAGATTCATCCCTGTCCCTGCCTATTGGGGTCCCTGGGTGACAGGGAGCAGGAACGCATTTCTTTTTCTCATTTCAGCCACCTTCTACCTGGGGTCCCTGCTCATGACTCAGGGAGCCCAGGACCCGAGCTCAGCTGGGGGGAGGTTTGTGAGCCCACCCCAGCCGTTTCCCCTCCTCTCCAGTGTCCAGGGCCCCAGGGGAGGGAGGAAGCCCTCAGACACAGCTGGGGGCAAACCCAGGCTCTGAGCTTCAGCTTCCCTCCTCTGCAGAATAGCGACACAGCCCCTGCCTCAGGGAGGTGTTGTGAGGATGGAAAGTGGGGGAAAGGGGTTTGGGGTAGGTGCTCCTACCCTCCCCAGCTTACCAAGGACCCTGCTCTGGCCGAGCTGGAACAAGACCTGGTTGCTCTTAGCTGTGCAGATCTGCTTGCCAAGTGAGTCTGAGCAAAAAAGAAACACCTCTTCTGGCCCCAGAGGTTTCAGAAAGCAAAAGGGAAAGCAAGTGCCCAATTGTGAGAAACTCACCACCAAACAAGCACGTCACCCAAATGGCGTCACCCCACTACACTGATCACAACCTCCCTGCTGACCCCTCTGAGGAGCAACCCCAGGGCCCACAGCCAGGGCTTTCTGGGTCCCTCCCATCCTGCCTTCTGCTTCTGGAAGACCTGCCCCCGACACACTGGGGGATCCCAGACACATTACGCCCCCCCCAAGGGGCTTATCCCCAGACTCCTGTCCTTTCATGCTCCCCACAGCCCTCAAAATGCCTGCCCCGTCCCCCTCTCTGTCAGCAGCAGTCGGCACCGTCTTGGACCCTGCAGGTGCTCCTTGCAGACCTGCTGCACTGCACTGTGCTCCTTCTACTATTGGAGGCCTCGAGCAGGCAGCTTCCAGACTTCTCTATGTGGGCCCTTCTGCCAGCAGCAGCAGCTTCCACAACATGGAAATTGATGCTCATCTTTCAAAGCCCAAATGTGGTATCACCTCCTCCAGTCAGCCCTCCAGCATTAACTCCACAGGGTCCCCTGTCCCCTGTTGGCTCTGCCCCCATGGCACCTGTAGGAGGGGCCTGAGCCCTCAGCAGGGCCACTGTGTAGATGTCTCCCCTGACCCCATTTGATCAGGTCCCTCTCTAGATTGTGCCTGGTGGCAGGGACAGTGCCTTGGTCTTTGAGCCCGTCCCTGGTGGTAAGTGCTGTTTGGGTGCAGACAGAAGTCTGTGGGAGCGCTCAGAGGGGCTGCTGTTGCCTTCCCTCCTGGCTCGGTTCCTCTCACCCCAGATCCCTTCCTCTCCTGTAAAAGGGACTTGTTTCCTATAAAACAAGACTTTTACAATAGGGCCATTGTCAAGGGAGCACAGGAAGGTCTGACAAAAGGAAGCAAGCCTGTTTTCCTGTTTGTTGTTACAATGTACTGGGGTGTGGAGGACCTAAGTCCCCGCCTGTGCCCGAGCAAAGAAGGGTCCTCACCAGCTGAAGACCTGAAGCAACTGAGGCACAGCCTCGGGCATCCTGCTGGAAAGGGTTTGCATCCTCACTGCCCCTCCCCTCTCCCTGGAGCTTCTCCAAGACACAAGGCCCATAAATCTCCCAGACTTTCACTGATCAGCCATCCCTGAGCAGAGGACTTTGTCTTGCAAACACCTATAGCCTGGACACCTGGGACAGGTGAGCAGGGTGACTTGCCCTCTCTGGGGGTCTGCTACACTCCCTTGAAAACCCTCCCACCTTCTCCCTTGCTGCCCCAGTCGTTAGGCTCTGCCCGCTGGGCCACTGTGTCCTGGCTCGAATAACAGCCAGTAATGGGATCTGGGCTCCCTAGTGCTCGACTCCTGGCTCCTGAGCAGAGCAGCCACCGAGCCGCAGCGCTGGGGGCACGCCGGGCTCCGTGCAGGTACCTGCATGCCTCTCCCATTCAATTCACACCCCAGCTCCAGGAGTCATCAACCCCATTTCACAGCTCAGGTGATGGAGGACGATGATCCACGGCCTGTACATCCTGCAGATGCTGGGCTTCTCTGCCTCCCCCCAGGCAGGGGTGGTGGGGCCGGGAGTGAACCACACAGGCCCACCTGGCCCTTCCTTCAGACACTGTTCATCATGGGGCAAGTGTCCATGGGCCATTACGGCACCCTGTGCCCTGCTCTATAGGGAGGGGCAGCAGAGGGATGGACAGTGTTGTGTGAGGACACACAGCCCAGTGTGCTCTCACACTGGCCCCACAGACTGCGCCAGGATGCGGCCTCCTTTGCAGAAGAGGAAGCCGCGGTGAGGGGAGAGGCCAGGGCTCCCACCAGGCAGCTCAGGGGAGGAGCCAAGACTCAATCCAAGGGTCCCATTTGACCTTTGATACTTGTTTCCAATTACTTTTTGTCATTTTCCCCCTGTAACCTCCCTGCTTCCTGGTTCTTCTCCCTTTCTCTAGCATGACGTCAGCTTCACACCCAGACAATCCCGTGTGAGATGCGGAACTCAGCTCAACATCCATCGGAGCTGCGGTCCTGGTACCGCGGGCGTCCTCTGGTGACAGTGCAGAATGGGCTCCAGAGGGACACCCCTGGCCTCGAGGGACACAGTCTCCTGGTGGGATGACAAAGGTGGGGGCTCCAAAGCCAAGCTGAGGTGAGAACTAGGCATCTCCTGCCTCTGGGGCCATAAGCGGAGATCACCCCACTGAGGGACCAGGGACCCAGTGTCGGGGAAATGGGACTCAGCTGGACAACCCACATCACAGAGGGTCACCTGGGATGGCAGAGGCCTCAGAGTCGGGGTCTGGGCGAAAGCTGTGGTTGACAGCTAGCAACGTTCAGCCCACTGTGAACAAAATCCAACTCAGGGGAAAAGTAACCCCAAAGTCGCTTAGAAAGGCATCCGGCCTGCACCAGCAGCATCGCCTGGTGGAGGCGGGAGGGGGCACCCAGCCAGAGGCACCCAGCGTGCACCCTCGGCCACCCCGGCCCATCCCAGGCTCTCCCACAGGAGGGGGGGCACACGTGGCTCAGACACGGTGGGCATGACAAGTGCTGTGCTCCAGAACAGGGGCCCTGTCTCCCGGTCACCCTCCCTGTCGTAGGGACGGTGGGGTGGGCAGGGAGCCTCACACTGACATGTGACAAAGGGGTGGCTTCCCCATGAAGGTCAAACAGGGGCCCAGGGCTCACTGCTTGGGTCCAACCTTCGGTCAGGTGGGTCCACATCCCAACCCTAAGGAGAGACGTTCCTCCCTCCCCCGACCTCTTGCTACTGTGGGGGCATCAGTCTTCATGGGCCAGGTCTCCACCTTGTGCCAGCTCGGTGTCAAGCACAGAGTAGGTACGCAGTAAGCAATGAGCCAAGGCTTATGGAGACGCGCTCAGCGTCCCTGGCCCTGGCCCCGCCTGCCTTTCTGGCGTCCTCCCCAATCAGACCTGTGCCCAGCCGCCCCGCACCACCACAGGCTCCCATGAGGCACAGGGCAGGCGCCTGCTGCCCAAAGTGGCTGTCTTCAGGCCGCCCTCTGCGGCGCACAGACACCACGAGACACGCGGCGCGGGGCACGTGGTACTCTTTATTGTGACGCCCAGTGGGAAACACGGTAAACCAGCTTCCTGTGGTGGTGACGGCTGCAACACACGCTAAGGCACTTTTATTCTATGAAACAGGGCGGGGCTGGGAGCGCAATTCGCTCCTTTGTGACAGCAACTGGGACCCGGATCAGAGCTCTGGAGGCACGTGCAGCTTGTATTCAGCTTCATGATTCGTTGAGTTTGTTTTCCTTAAAAAGAATGCCTTCTTTGCCGTGAGTAAGTCTACATGCAGCATATACAGAACAGTTGGGAATACAGGGAAATTCAGCAACCAGTGTAGACCAGTGCAGGGCACGCTACTCTCTTCTAAACGTGGTTCCGGAGGAAGGCAGTGACAAAGACTGGGGGTTTCATCAATTATCACAAGAAGGGGGAAGAGAGAAAACCTTTTTTTTCCTCCTTTCCAAAAAACATCTGTGCAGGTGGCGAGCTCTTCCACGATCCTGAGTCAACGGTGCAGACAAACCACCGGGCCCCAGTCCTGGAGCAGGTGCAGGGTGGTGTGGGCGGGCCTCTGGCCTGTCTGGTGCGCTGGCTGACAGACTTGGGACAAGTCCCTTAACCACTATGTGTATTTGGTCCCCAAGAGTTTTGGGAGAAGACACTGCTGGCCTTTCCAGCTTGGCCCCTAGGCCCTCCCCGTCTGCTCGGCCCAAGGACCGTCTGGTGACAGGGCTGGCTGCCCTCGGCAAAGGAGGGATGGGGTCATCATTGCACTTGAGACATCTTAGGATCGGGAAGGGGATGGGGCGCTGCCCAGTGTGATTGGGGAGGAGGTGCCTCCCTGCCCACGCCTGGCATTCTGTGCCCTGCACAGAGGGGGCGCCCCTGGGCCTGCCCTCGCCAGGCCACCCAGAGCCCACGGGAGGGGGCTGCTGGGGCAGAGGGTGTGAGGTCACCGCGTGTGATTGCCAACAGCAAAGACGGGGGTGGGGGAAGAGCCGGTGGTGGAGGCGGGAAGGTGGCCACATATCTGGGGTGCTGGGCTCCCAAAACTCCTGAGGGTGAATAAAAATAGACGTGTAGAAAACTCTCTGGCCCGCCCCGGTGGCCTTCCTTCTCGCCTCACAGCCTTGTGCTTTTGGCAAGAGAAGGCCGAAGGTCCGGCAGGCCCTGAGTTCCTGAGCCCGGGGCCCAGGACCCCGACTCTTTGGTATTGGATTCTGGGGTGCAGGGGAGGGGAGCAGGAGAGGCTGCAGCAGAGAAGCCGAAGGCCCTCAACAGGGCCTGGGGGGCCGGGGAAGGGAGCACAGGCCTGAGGTCCCCAGGCCTGGTGGGCGGGGCTGAGAGTTTGGTCACAGCAGTCCCAAGAGGGTGGGGGGCTGGGAAGGGGCGGCGGAGTCATCCCTTGGTCGTAGGTCGGTCTATCTGTCCATCTTCGGCACCAGGAGGAGAGGTTATTCGGCAGCTTTGGCTTCAGCCCCATCGGCTTTGCCATCCACCTCCTCATCTGAGCATTCACCAGCACCTTTCCGGGCCATTCGGCGGGGTACGACAAATGGCAGGTCTCCACGCCTGGGGGCAGAGGCAGAGGTCAGAGGGCTGGCCAGGGTGGCCCAAGCACAGCTCACACATTCCACAGCGACCCCTAGAGGGAAACTGGTGCCTAACATCCCATGGGACAAACCACACAGGGCCTCTGGGCCACTGCCTCCAGGCAGGACAGGGCAGCTACCAGAGCAGGCTGCTAAAGCTTTCCCTTCACGCCACGACACTAGCAAACACCTCCAGGAAATCAGCTCATATGAAAAGGGGGGAAGGCAGAAGAATAGATGGAGTCGCCTCCCGCAAAATGCCACTCTTAGTGCAACTAAGTATAAGACGGGAAACCGAGAGCTGCAGACACAGTGTGCACACACCGGCGCATTCTTCCATCACCTGGGGAACATGAATATTAACCACTGACGAGAACATCTGCTCATGCTGACTCAGCTTTGACAGAGGACTGTCATGAAAAGGAGGCAGAAATGAGGGTGGGGCTTGCTGGAAGACCCCTGCCTCAGCCATTTCCCGCCTCCTGGACGTCAACACGCCCTGGAGAAACGAGGAGGCCCCTCTCTCTCCCCAGGCCCAGTGAGGTGACAGCAGTCTCTGCCAGTGAGCGCTCTCCCCGCACCAGGGATGGGCCGGTGCTGCCTGTGCACATCAGGGTGGGAGCAGCCCCACTAGCAGACTTCCCAGGAGGATGGGCTGAAAGACCCAGGGTTTACGGTTTATGCCACAGGCTGGGCCACAGTCCGGGAGGCAAGAAGATCCCCCAGGGCCAGTGGCCCCTGAACCCACTTGATGCCCAGTTGAGAAAGGGAACCGCCTTCACAGGGGCTTTGCAGTCTGCACAATGAACAAGCGATTGGAGGGAGAAAGACGTGCGGGGTGGAGGCAGGCTCACCTGAGCTTGTTCTTCAGGGAGCTGACCTCACGGTTCATGGCGTCGGCGGTCTCGGTGGCGTCCTCCAGCTCGCGCTGCAGCTTCCTGCGGGAGGCATTGGCCCTCTGGGCCTCCTCCTCAGCCTCCTCCAGCTGCCGCTTTAACTGCTTCAGGCGGGTGGATGCCTTGTCAGCCTGTGGAGAGCAGTGGCCCAGGTTAGGGACTCCTGGAGAGTGGGGCCCGCCCAGCCCCGCCAGCCCAGGGCCCCACTGCTCTGCCCACAAGCACACCTGGTCCTTGAACTGCTCTGCATTCCTGCGCTCGTCATCCACCTGCAGCAACACGTCCTTCAGCTTCTTCTCAGCCCGACGCACCTGCTTGCACGCCGCCTGGCGCTCCCTGCCAGGTACAGAGTGGCTCAGAGGGGCACTGTCCTTCAGAGGGTCTGCCCACAAACCACAAGCTGGACCACCCATCCTGGGGCCTCACTGGGATTTGCCCTCTGGGGAGGCCTTGATGCCAAGGCCTCCCCTCCTGACTGAACACCCACTATCAGCTTGCTTCTCCCAGAAGAAGGGTAATCGGCCCCATTTCTCAGATGGGGAAGCTGGGGCTCTGGGAAGGGAAGTGACACCTCACAGCATATGTGCAGTTAGGAAAAAGGGACAGTGAGACTGGGCTCCTGTGTGGCCTCTGTTACCTACAAACAAGTCTCTGTCTTGCTCAGCACAGCTTTCCCTCAGGGGGCTGGGAGCCCCCTACCTCTCAGAGAGGGTCCCCAAAACCCACTGCTTGGCCATGAGCAGCTACTCCAACTCCAAAGGACCCAGCAAATCAGAGGACGGCCCCGTCAGGAGGGGGAACAGCCCCTGGGACTCGGGGACAGAGAGCTGCTTCCTGACTGGACTCAGGGATAGGACTGCAGATGGGCTTGGACACTGCTCCAGGCCACAGGACAGGGATACCTACTTGGTCTCGTTGTCCAGCTGCTCTTCCAGTTGTGCGATCTTGGCCTCCAGGGCAGTGATGGAGGCCTTGTACTTGGACTTGACAGTGCCCTCCATCTCCTGCAGCTTGACCTTGAGCTCCTTGTTCTGGCGCTCCAGCTGCTGCCTGGCGTTCTCGTTCTTCTGAGCGTGGCTGCGCTCCAGGTTCAGGTCAGTGTTGATCTGGTCAATCTGTGGGAAGAAGGGCCAATGACCTTGAGGAAAGCTGAAGATCCTGCTGGAGACAGATGGGACAGCTAGGTCCTGCAGAGCTCGTGATAATAGTGGGACCCCAAAACCTAACAGCAGCTACGACCTCCTCCCCTAAGCAATCCAGAAGCTGCTGACTTTGCCCAGGTGGTGTTCAAAATCTGTGGCCCTGAGCCGGGTGCAGAGGGAGAGCCCGGGAGACCCCCGCCCCGCCCACCTGCAGGTTGGCCTTCTTCAGCCTGTCGTTCACCAGCTCCGTGTTGCCCTGCTCCTCCTCCAGCTCCTCCTCCAGCTGGGCGATGCGGGCCTCCAGGCGCCTCTTCTCCTCCAATGCCAGGGCCCTGGGGGACACCAGAGGAGTGAGCAGAGGCCCATCCCAGAGGACCTTTCCCCCACAACACCCGCCTCTGCTCACCCTTTCCCCTGCTGTTGGCAATCTCATCAGCCAGCTCATCCCGCTCCTGCTGGGCCTGACGCTTGGCACGCTCGGCAGCTGCCAGTTCCTGCCATGAGAACCCAGAGTGTGACCTGCTGGGCAGCCCACACCCTGAAAGGCCACCTCTTCCATGCCAGGCCCTCTGCACTGCCATCCTCCCCAAGCCCTGGCCCTCTCCTCCATGCCTTCCTGGGCCTGCCTCCTCCATGAATGAAGTCCTTTCAAAGGAGCCCCCCTGGCTCACAGGGCTGACTCCTCCCTCTGAGGTCAGAGCTGGGGCCCCACATGTTTACAAAGCCCACTCATCTGAATGCTAGGAACCAGGCCTGGTGCCAGGGATGTAGAGATAAGTCAGAAACCATCCTGGCCCAATGGGGCATGCTGGACCCTCTCCACCCCGGGCAGACCAGGCACTGGGAGTGACCAGAAAGAGATGTGTGCTAGGACCTGGGACTGAGGACCCTGACACCCAAGGGAAGGAAAGGGGCCTCACCCCCAGGGCAAGCCCCCATGGACAAAGACACAAATGTCACCAAAGGAGAGCACAGCCAATATGGCAAGGGCAGAAAAGGGCAGGACTGGATGTGGGGACCAGCGAGAAGCAGAATGCTTCCATATGTGCCTCCTGTGTGACAGGCAAGGGGGCACTCAGGGCACAGGAGTCTGGGAGGGACCCCTCCTCTCCAGGCCCCATTTCACAGCAGGAGGTGGTGATCACACAGTCTCCTTCCCCTCCAGGGAGGCCTGCTACTTAGTGGAGCCCTGCAGGGACTTCTGTCACACAGAGCCACCCCCACTCCTCCCTGAAACTCCAGTACTGTGTTTCCATCCCCACCCAACACTGGCCCAGGGGAGGCCCCAAGCCGACCCTCCCACCACAGGGCAGCAACCCCAGGTCTCCCACACTTTGGCCCCAGACCACCTCCTGCAGCTGAATCATCTCGGCCTCCATGCTCTTCAGCTTCTTCTCGTTCTCCTTGGCCTGCGCCAGGATCTCCTCGCGGGACGCACGTGTGTCGTCCAGCTCACGCATGTAGTCCTTCATCTGGGCCTGGGGGTGGGGAGAAGATGCTTGACACCCCCATCCCAGTGGCCACCATCCAGCCCCTGCCCCACCATCTGCCCTTCCACCCCGTCCAGGCACAACATGGAGCAGGACCTTCTGGCTGCTTTTCACCCTGACACGACCATTAAAAAGGGTGAACTAGTAGCTAAGGCAAAACATCCCTTTGCCCCCCACCATTTGTGCACTTCGTGGCCATTAGCATCCACCAGCTCACTCTGGGCGTGGGGGTCTCGGCGCACGTATTGGCCCCAGTTGCGTGGCTTCCACTCCCTGCAGCCCCTGGGCACGGGGACCCCGAGCTGCTGCTCCTTCCCCAGTGTTGGCCTGCTCCCCTGCCAGGTCCTCCCGACCACAGGGAGGGCGAGAGTCCTTCCTTTTTCTGTCTCATGCTGTTGCTTTCATTCCAAAGATTTTGTGAAGCAGCTTTTTTTCTTCTTGGGCAGAAAATCCCAAATTGACACTCCCCATGTCAAAGGTTACGACTCTTGGTAGCATCACCCAGGAGCCAGGAAGAGAATGCCAGCAGCCTGCAGGCATCTGTGCCCTGTGCCCTCACCAGCCACGGACGTTTAAATGTGTTCTGGTTGCTGCCAGGGGGCTGGGTGTGACAGGGCATCTCAGAACTCTTTTAAATTTGTTGTTTCTTAACTGGGGGTCCAGTAAAAATGTCGTGGTGTGTCCCTGCTCCGGCTGCTCCTCTGAACCTTCAGCCCCAACCTTCCATCATCACCCATCAGGCTGCAGGGCGTCACCCGGGGCCACAGCAGGTTTCTTCTCAACAGATGCCACTAACTGACCCCCTCCCCTGACCCCACTGCAGGACCAGGTGTACACACTCTGCTCTCGCACACTCAAGGCGCAGGCCGTCCTGCAGGTTTGCTCTCAGGCTGTTTTCTCTTCAGCCTCTGGGCCTGAGTCTCCATCTGTGAGACAGGCTAAGGGCACCAAGGCCTTCCCTGGGCTGGGGGACAGCAGCACTTCCCAGCATTCACTGGACACCCACTAGTGTCCCAGCCCCACACTGAGCCCCGGGCCACCGAGTCTGGCCAGCTCTGGTTTGGTCCAGCCTGACCTCACCTGCAGCTTCCGTAGCTGTTTGATGGCTTCGTCGCGGTTCTTGTTGGCAGTGTCGATCTGGGCCTCCAGGTCCTTCAGGTCCATCTCCAGCTTCTTCCGAGCGGCCATGGCCATAGAGCGCTGCTTCCTCTCATCCTCCAGCTCTGCCTCCATCTCCCGCACCTGGGGAGACACCAGAGCTCCAGAGGCCGGACCCACACACACCCCCATCTGCAGCTCTGAGTCCAGGTGGCTTCGGCCAGTTCTGGGATCCATGCAGCCTCCAGTGGCCAATTGGAGGACTGAGCAGAAAACCCTGATACAGCCACTGACTCGGCTACCCTTCCTGAGGACAGAGAAATGGTCCAAGAGCCCTGGACAATCAGGTGGTAGGACAGAAAAGAAGCCTGCCCAAAACATGGGGGGCAGGCTGGGGGGCATGTCCCTGTCCAGGGGAAGCGGGAGGGACATACACACCTGTCTGACCAGCTGCTTCTTCTTCTCCTCACTCTGCTCATCCCGGCCCTGCAGGTCCCGCTCGAACTGGGCTCTCATGGCCTGCAGGTTCACTTCCAGCCGAAGCTTGGCATCCTCGGTGGCCTGAAGCTCATCCTCCAGCTCCTCGAGCTGGGTCTTCATCTCTTCGACTTGCTGCTCCAGGGCCCGCTTCGACTTCTCCAGCTCATGGACCTGCCACCCGAAGGAAACAGAGTCATGAGCAGAGGGACAAGAGGCCCCCGAGATCCCTGCTTCAGTGTCCGCTCACTGGGTCATCCTCTGCACTACCCCCTTGGCCCCTCCTGGGACTCACACTCTTGCCCACGTCGTCCTTGGAGCTCATGAGGTCCTCCATCTCCGTGCGGAACTGCTTGTTGAGCCGCTCCAGCTCTGCCTTCTGCTCCATGGCCTCCTCCAGGGCCCGGGCCAGTGACAGCGCCTTGGTCTCCTTCTCACGGGCTTCTGCCTCAGCCCGGTCCCGCTCCTCCGCATACTTGGCTGAGATGGTCTTCTCCTCGGCCAGGAGCTGGAAGAGACAGGGGGGCCATGAGTCTTGGGCAACAAACTCGTACAAGGAGCTCCAAGCCTGCTGACCTCACACAGGCCGACCATCCTGACCCAGCTACTTGAGGAATGAAGGGCCGGGTGCCGGGTCTGAGCAGTGGGGACCAGGAAGAGCAAGCACCAGGCGGCTGTCAGAGGAACCCCACTGTCCCCAGGGTGACATGCACTGCTCATTATGTCCCTGTAACCGGACAAGGGTAGAGATCACCCCTGCCACCTTAGTGAAGGTCTGTCCTTGTTATCACTTAATAAGGGTTCTTTATGTCACAGAGCACCCCTCCCACGAGAACCCACAGGAAACATTGCACGTACCCAATGCGGAAAGGCTTTGGAATTTCTCCTGAATGAATGGACGGCGTTTACCTTAACGCCTGTGGCTGTGGCTGCTTAGAAGCCTGAAGCCCAAGTGTGGCCGCCTCCAAGTACGTGAGTTTAAATCCCTTGGTCCACGTTGTGCGTGGGCTGTCCTTTGATCTAGTATTCCAACCTTCCCATGCCCCTCGCACAGACTATTTCTTAAAAGGACCAGGAACTAAATGCTTTAGACTTTAGGGGTCAAGTCTGCGTAGTAACGACGTGACTCTGCCCTGACCACACGACAATGACCAGAGACGACAGGAGAGGAGGCAGCAGGGCCGACCCTGAGACACCTCCATCCAAACTGATGGGCACCAGGTGGCGAGAGCCTGGACCCCAAGTCTCGCCGCGTCGGCGTGACTGTAAGCTGCCTCTGATCCTTTAGAGTGAGGAGGAGGTGTGGACACATGAACCAAAATTCAAAGTACTTAAAATTGGATCATTATAAAAGAATGTGAAAATTGTAAGAAGCAGAAAGCTGAACACTTTGTCCTAAACCTGAGGTGTGCAGATGGCCCATTCTGAGCATGTCCCTGCCAGGCCCCTCAACAAGCCGGACACCCAGTGGGACCTCCCAGCACCTGCAGGTAGTGATGGAATCCCAGGGCCCACTCCCAGTCAGTGGCCTTGACCTGAGGCCATGGTGCTAGAGGAAGATAGGAAATGAGGAGCTTTTGGGTGGCACACACCTGGTCAAACTTCTTCTGCTTCTTCTCCAGGTTGGAGACGCTCTGCCGCTGGTGGTCCAGGTCCACGAGCAGGTCATCCAGCTCCTGCTGCAGCCGTGTCTTGGTCTTCTCCAGCTTGTCGTAGGCGGCCACCTTCTCCTCATAGCGCTGGCTCAGCCCCTCCAGGTCCTTCTGGAGCTTCCTCTTGGCTTCCTCCACAGTCTCGAGACACCCCACGCCATCTTCCATCTTCTTCTTCATGTCGCTCACCTGGCCAGGAGCAAGGAAGGAAGAGACACCCAGGATGGCACCTGCTCAGGGAACAACCTGTGCCTGAGGCAGCTGGGAGCTGGGCTGCTCCTCAGGAACACAGACCAGGGAGCCAGCCCAGGTGTGGGGCTTCCCCCTTCCACCAGGCTAGAGAGATGCACTTTGTGCTGCGGGAGTCTATGCACTCCATGGAGCTGAGGGCAGGTCAGCTCTGGAGGGCCTCTCCGCTGAGACCCTTTCCGGGCTGCTGGTTTAGAAGGACCAACGCCCAGGCAAGAGCATCCTCCACGCACTGCGCTCCCACAGCAGGGCTGGTGCCCTCTGGGGAATATGTCTGCTGGGGGCACCAGGACCCCGGGCACCTGCCCTGAGGCCTCTCCTCTTTGCTCGTGGACAGAAAACTGCCACCCACAGCACATCCTGGCTGCTCCTACCCAGACCATGGAGCGGACCGTGGCCGTCCTGTGCATAGGGCACATCTGGCCTGGCGCACAACCTCCCAGGACGGGATCTAGAATGGGGGCTCTTGGTCCACTTTAGGCTCTGGACCCTGTGGCAGCACAGAGCAGACTGGGACTCCTCCTCCTCACCCCGATTTGACAGAAAATATGCAGGATGATGAGGAAGTCAATGCGGACAAAGGCGGCTGTCAGAAGTTACGCTGAATTGGTGAGTGACCCACATGCCTCTCCATGAGCACCACGGAGAGCAGCCCCCTGAAGTGCGGGGAGCACAGTGACACCCCTGAAGCCCTGCTGTGTCTGCACATGGTGACTGTCGGTTCCTAGTGACTAGAACAGGCACTGGGACTGCCGTGACTTGTGGTCTACACTCATCAGGAAGCAAATGCTAAGTGTCATCTGGAGACTGGTAAAATGAAGGCTGTTTAGTCTGGTCTCCCAAGTTCATGGATCCTGGAATTCCACCCGGGGGACCCAGGGCTAGGAGCCCTGGGCTGGAGAGGACGGGAACTCCCTGGAGAGGAATGATGCCCCGCTCAGGCCAACCAGGGCGGACCCATCCTGCAGAATCCAACCAGTGTCCCTGAGCCTCCCGGTAGCCTGGGAGTCTTGCAGGTGATCTAGCACCAAACCTGGGCGTGCAGGGTGGCAATCTGCTTCTCCAGGTTGTGCTTGGCCTCCTCCTCCTCCTCCAGCTGCTCCTTCAGGGAATTCTTCTCATCTTCCACCTGCTTCAGCTTGGTGCTCAGGCCCAGCTTCTGCCGGTTCTCTTCTTGCAGCAGCTCCTACTCCGAGGGCGAGAGGGGTGCAAGGCTCAGGAGGTGCAGTGCCAGAGCTTCAAGGAACCCACTCCCATGGCGTGAGGGAGTAGCTGGTTCCTCTGACCCAGGGAACAGCTTATAAAGACCTGGTGGGGAGCCGGGAGCACCCAGACACCCCGTGGATGGAGGGGAGCATGTGTAATCTGAGTAGCACTGGGACAGGACACCCAGAGACCTGGCAGGAGATGCCATGTGGGAACTGCGTCCTCGCAGGAAATGGTCCAGCTGTAGAATCCTGCTGTCACCCTTACCTGTGTGTCCTGCAGCTGCGACTCCAGAGTGGAGAAGTCCTTGGTGAGCTTGCTGGACTTGCTGTCAGATTGGCTCAGCAGACCCGTCACGTTGTCCAGCTCAACCTGCACAGGGACGGAGGAGACAGAGGCCCAGGAGCTCAACCGTGACCACTCTGGCCCCACCTGGGTGCCTGTAGGGTAACCTGGTCCTGAGTCCCAGGCTGAACCCAGAAGTCTTGCTGAGGAGCCCATGTGAAGCATGACAAAGAGAAGGAGTCCCAGAGAACTGGGCCGAGACCGAGGAGTCCCTGAAGGGTCCACCACCCAGGCCCGGGTCCCAGCAGAGGCCTCACCTGCAGCTTGGTGACCTTGTCAGCCAGCTCCGTGCGCACTCGCTCTCCCTCGTTGAACTTCACCTGCAGCTCCTGCAGCTGGGCCTCCACTTTCTTCCGCTTGTGCTCTGAGTCCCCTTTGCCCTGCAGCAGGACCTTCACCTCATTGGCCAGCTCCCCTCGCTCATTCTCCAAGGTCTGCTTGGCCTTCTCCAGGTTGGCTTTCACCTGGCGGGGGAGGAAGGAAAGGAGTGAACAGGGGCATCTGGGCCCTGCCATGAAGCTGCTCTTGCCAGTGTCCCAGGAAGGACCGCAGCGTTCGGATTCAGACACGGCTGGCTCTGCGGCTAAAGGAATGTTGGATGAGTTTGGGAGGTGGCCTGCTAGCAAGTGTCCTGGTCTCAGAAGTCCCACATCTGGCCTGTCCTCACTCAACTGGAAGATGACACCCAGCATGTGTCCCCCTCTCTGAAGGCCTCCGCTTTCCCATCTTTAAAACAAGGCCCACCCAGCCCCCTCATGGGTAGAGGGAACATTCCAGTATAAGGTGTTGTAACTGCAGATATTATGATTTTGGTTAGGACCCTATAAAACAAGGGAAATTATAATTTTCATAGTTAGACACCCAGTGAAGCCCTTTGAAATTTGATACTCAGAGTAATAATGTAATATTATTCCCAAAAATAAAGTGGAGTTTATAGAACCAACACGACAATCCCATTGTAGTCTGCACCAAGTGGGCCACGGGGTCACAGGCAAGTTCAAAGGTAAGCCGCAAATGCAAAGAACGCTGGGTAAAAACAGCTAAAGAACAAAGACAGGTTTCAACCTCCACAGAACCCGGTGGAAATTGAAGGGAGACAGATGAAAAGGGACTGTTTGTGAAACATTTTATAGGCTGCCACATGGAACAGCCTTGGGCCTCTTGAGCTGCCACTGAGAGTGTCTGCGAGCTGGGAGCCGAACGAGGCAGGACGTGTCCTGGGAAGGAACCGCCGGGCCATCGGCTGCCAGGCAGAGAATCCTGCTGGGCCTGACATCTGCAGGGTTCCCCCGAGAAGACTCCAGCTGACCACCTCTGGTGGTGTTCTGGAAAGGACCCAGGTTTCAGAAAAGGGACCCTAAGGCCCTGGGAAACTCAGTTTCAGGGGAACCCCAGTTCCTGGAGGCGCTCTGGTCTGGCCAGTTGTCTGATGAAACAGTAAGGATGACGGGGATGGACAACTTACTGAGCCCACGCTACCCAAGTGCTTCACACGTCATCAGCGCCAGCTCAGCGCACATGCGTGCGGGAGACAGACCTACCGGTAGCCTCCTTTACGGACGGGGAAGCTGACGTGCAGGGGTGCCATCTGTCCAAGTACTCAGCCACTAAGGGCTGGAGCTGGCCTCCGACCCAGGCAGTATGGCTCTGGAGCTGCTCTGTCCTACAGGCCTGGCCTGGAGCAGCAGCTCGTCTCCAGGAGGGCTCCCCTTGCAAGGAACAAGACTGCCCCCCTGCCGCCCAAGTGCCAGAGCAGGTCCCCGGGGGAAGGCCACACACCCGTTTCGTCTGCTCCAGCTGCTCGGCCAGCTCCTCCACGGCCTGGGAGTGCTTCTGCCTCATCTCCTGGATCTGGGCCTCGTGCGTCTTGGCCTCTTCCTCGAGGGTCTTCTTTAGGATATTCACTTCCTGCTCACGTTTGGACCTGGGGAGAAATGCCCTCAGAATGGAGGCCAGGGACCCTGGAGCGATGCTGCCCCTGGGGCTCTTCCCCCACTGCAGGGAGGCCGGCGAGGTGCACCGGCCCCCTCAGGCTGCTTCTCTGCCAGGGCCCCCTCCTCAGCGGCCCACCCTCAGAGACACTGTAGAGGCTTCTGTGCCCTCGCAACCTTCCAGCCCACCCTGTTTCCCCCAGACTTCAAGCCGGGCTCCTGACTAGGCCTTCTCAGCAGAGAGAAGGTGCTGCGGAGCCGCGGCTCCCCCGCTCTCCGGTCGGAACGCGGCCATAAGGCTGCTGTGCGGGTCAGAGGCCTAGGATCCACCACCCGAGGCCAGGGCCTCCTCTTCCCCGTCCGGGCCGCGGCCAGCCGGCCCCCTGGCACACCTGAGCTCCTGCTGGGCAGCCGTGGAGTCCAGGGTGTCCTCCAGCTCGGTCTTCAGAGCCTCCAGCTCTTCCCCGAGGTCCCGCTTCTGCTTCTCAGCCTTGTTCCGAGAGGCTCGCTCGGACTCCAGGTCTTCCTGCAGTTCAGAGATCTGAGACTCCAGCTCGCGGATCTTCTTCAGGGCCATGTTCTTCTGGGTGGCTTCTTCCTCCACTCTGCCAAAGAAACAAACCTCAGGACGCGGCCATTTCTACCTTTAAGGGGCGGGGTCGAGTGTGCGGGAAAGGAGTTAGGAAGAGGCAGCCGAAGCCACTCCTGGCAGGCGGAGTCACGTCCCTTGGGGACGGCGCTCGGCAGAAGGAGCATCGGAGGCCTACCACGCGGAAGAGCCACGGGCAGCACCACCGTGAGGACTGCAAAGCCTCCTACAGAAACCATTTCATTTTCCAAATCAGAAGTCAGTAATTAAAACATAATAAGAAGTTCTATGTGAAATAAGTGAAGGAAAAGGAAATAAAATGTTACAGTTCATCAAGACTGCAACAGAATAAAAACACAAATATGCCACAGATTTGGGGTGGTGGTGTTGCATCGATGCAGGTGCACCAACTGCAACAAATGCACCCCCCACCCCGCCGGTGCCGGGCGGACGGCTGGAGGAGGCTGTGTGGGGGGCAGAGGAGACCCACCAACATCCTCCACACTGCTGCCTCACAGCCTTGCTGTGAACCTAAAACCGCTCTCAGAAACAGCCTATTGAAGAGGGGAAAAAATGCCTGTAGCCGGTAAATAATAAGAAGATAAAGAAGTGAAAGGACTGTGGGCAGCTACATGCCTGCTTGAGGATCACAAACAAACAGACGAGTGGCGGGAAACGTGCCTTTCGTAAACAGAGAAGGTTTCGCTGCGCAATGGCCTCCACGACCACAACAGCAGGGCGCATGCTCCCCGCCCGCTGACAGGCGGCGCCAAGAACCACAGCAGGGCGCCGGCAGGAAGCGCTGGCTCAGGCCACCTGGCCACCAGCTGATGCTCCGGCTCTCACCTGGCCAGGGCGGCCTGAAGCTCCTCCTCTTTCTTGGCCAGCTGCATCTTGAGCTCGGCGATCTGGGCCTGGAGCTCGGCGATCTGGTCGTTGAGGTCTGTGGAGTCTCCCTCCAGCTTCCGGCGGGTCTTCTCCAGCTCCTGGCGCTGCTTCTCCTCTCTTCGGAGGCGCTCTGAGAGGGAAGGACGGGGAGAAGCCGATAGAGCCGCCAGCGGCCATAGGCTGGGCCGTCTTTGTTTTTAACTCTTACATAAACCCTGCATCCTTATCAGAAGATCTACGTAAGGTTTGGAGAGTCAAAATGCAGACTCTCGCACCAACTCCTGGGTGAAGGGAAAGAGCATCACCAGCAGCTGCCAGGTCCCGTGTCTCCCCTACTCCACCCGCTGCCCAGGACACAGCAGGCTGCCCACATCTCCGCAGAGGACACAGTGGTTTCTGGCACAAGCTCAGAGCTCCGGGATTCCCCCTACCCCTGTGTCCACTCCTCTCAAGGGGCAGGGGACAAGGGGTCCACAGACGACCACAGATCTGCACTGCCAACCCATCCTCCTCACCACAGATCCCCAGGGCACAGGGAGATGAAGACAGGACCTGTCACCCTGCCCCAAGACAAGCAATGGCCCTGAAATATCAGTCTAGCACTTAGCAGAGCACACGGCATGTCCACAAGCATGAGACAGTTTGGCTCTCACGAATGCCCTTCCACTGTGGTGCCTTAGAGGTTAAGAGAAACTGAAGCTCACGGAGATGAAGTGCCAGGTACAAGGTGACACAGCTAGTAAGCGGCAGAGCCAGGGGGCCAACCCGGTCTCAAAAGCTTGTAAAACGCATGGTGGGCAGCAACGGAGAATCACGAGGGCTTTACTCCGGGTGTTCCTCACTTGGGAACCTCCCCCCCAGCCACACAGCGCCGGTGCCTGGTGCCCAGGGTCCTACAGGGACTGGGTGCTGAATCCCAGGTTTTGAGGCAGCAACCGGCTGCTGTGGACCCTGAGCCTCGCGCGTGTGGAAGCGAGCATGACTCCCGCCTGGTGCTACCACTCCCGGCGGCGATGACCCTGGAAGGTGTGCGCCTCGGGCTCCCGAAGTCAGCTCCTGCCCATCACCCTCTTACCCTCCAGGTCAGTGATCATGGCCTCGTGTTTGTTCTTGAGCTTGGCCAGGCTCTTCGATTTCTCCTCCTCTTCCGTGAGGTTGGTGGTGAACTCAGCTATCCTGTCTTCCAACAGCTTCTTCTCCTGGGGGGTGGGGAGGGGGTAGGGGTGGGGGTGTGAGGCCGGGTCGGGGCTCAGCGTTAGCTGAGCACAGACACTTCAGCTCTCTTCAAAGTACGGCTCGTCCAGAAACCCACCACTGAGTGGAGGGACAAGGACTTAAATAACTGGTTCACGGGGACTTCCTGGATCAAAGGGGTCACTCTGTAAGGTCACTAACTCCCCTTGAAGAGCAGGTAAGCTTCCTTGACCTACAAATGTGGGTCCTGAAGCCCTTCCGGGGCCTGTTTGATCCCTTTGGGCCCAGGTAAGGAAGGCTTCCGGGGGCAGCGAGTGTCGGGGAGGGAACTCAGGCACCGTCTTCTCCAGGCCCCGTGCCTGTCCGCTGGGGGGCTGTGGCCTCCTGCCCCCTCGAGCCCACAGAGTCCTCACTGCCTGTGCCGTGTGGCCCCCGCTGCAGTCCTAACCTAGCAGGCCCTCCCCAGGACAGCACAGCCACTGAAGTCAGTGCACACTGTCACTCAGCGTGAGCATCCCGCTGCCTGAGTCACAGGGCTCCGGGCAGCCACCCCGCCACCCCAACCCCGCAGCCTGCCCTCGGCGTCGGGGCGGCATTCTGACCGAGTCCTTTCTTCTCCTCCAACACACCCCTCAGCTTCTATCTGCCGTCTAGCTGACAGAGACCCAACTTGGTTCTCAAAAGAAACAGCCACCCCTTGGGGAAGGCTGAAGGAGAGAGAAGGACCCACACCTCACCCCCAAGGTGCCCGCAGCACCACTGGGGACCCACACGCAATGCCACGCAGATGGTTCAGCTCTGCCAAGTCTCGGGTCTCAAGAGCTTACGAAGAGCTCCACTAAGATAGGTCAGGCCCTTCCCTTGGGCCCCACTCAGGTACGAGAGCCATCCCTTCAAACGACCCTGGCACCCAGAGGCCCAGGGACACCCAGGAAGGAGAACCTGCTACAGAGCAGCAGCCACAGCACCTCAGGCAGCAGAGGCGGGACGTGAGGCCGGGCGCAGGGCCTGGCTCGCTCCCACAGCCCACGTCCCCGCCCGCCGAGGGACTCACCTTGGCCAGCTTGCAGTTCTGATCTTCCAAGATGATCTGGTCTTCCTCCAGCTTCTTCAGCTTGGCCTCGGTGGTCACCTTCTCCAGCTGCAGCTTCTGGCGGGCGCTCTCCTCCTCCTCCAGCTGCTCCTCCAGTTCCTGTCACAAAGCCGAAGGGGCGGTGAGGACTGCAGGCCACGCCAAGCCCAGCGGTGGGGCTGAGATGTGGCCCAACCCCGACCTGTGGGGTCACATATTTAAAACTGGGGTACAGGGACAAGAACCCAGGTCCGATCACGAGGTCGCTTGTTCTGAGGTGCTTCCTACAGAGCACGCTTCCCGCCAGTGACAACGTGGGCCAAGAGCAGAGCTGGTGGCCCTCCGCTCCTCAGGCCAGCCGGGACAGGACCAGGGGAGGGGACCGAACCTGACTTCCATGCTCAGCTGGGCAGTGCACACGGAGAGCTGAGACACGCGTGTGAGAAACCACCGCCCCACAGACAAAACCTCTCAAAGGCTGCCCCAAGTGGACAAAATGGGGAGGAGCTGGCCCACCCTGGCACCTCCATTTCTGTGTTCTCTCCAGTCCCTGTGTCCCCGCTCCTCGCTGCACCCTGTCCCCTCCTCCCTGAGCCTGGTGTCCAGCCCCGCCCCTTTCCTCCAGGGGGCAAGAAGCTGGGTTACCTGGATGTTTTGCTGCATTTTCTTCTTCTCCGTCTGCAGGTGCTGACAGCGCTCCTCCTCCTCCTCCACCCTGGCCTCAAGGTCGTGGCAAATCTCCTCCAGCTCCTGCTTCTTGGCCGTCAGGCGGGCCCGGAGCTCCTCAGCCTCAGCACACAGTTCTGTTTCCGCCTGGAGCTGCTCCTGCAGCTGCAACTTCTCTGCCATGAGCTGCAAACAACAGGCGCACAATGCAAGTTCCTTGCAGCCTCCTCGGACCACTCCAGGCCAGGTCTTCCCTAGCTCAGGCTCCCGGAGGGAGGACCATGCTGACCAAGGAGTTTCATCTGGGGAGTGCCTACGCTCCCAGGCATGCTCCATATACCATGTCCTTTATGCTTTACCACTGTGCCATGAGCTGTACACCAACATCCCCAGGAAACAGGCTCAGAGAAGTTAGGCGCTGGAGCTGGGCCTCGAGCCCCACACTCAAGAATTTTCCATCCCATTAGGCAGCTTCCCTACATCATATAACCCTGACTGAAGTCTACAGAAAAACTAACTGTTTTTCTGGGAAAGTATCTCCTGAAACTCCAACATGCCTCGTCTATAGATGGCCAGCAGGTGGCAGCACTGGCACCAGCTGTACTACACTGGGACCAGCTGTACACACCTGCGACTGGAGGGTCTCCATTTCCACCAGCCTGTTCTCCGCAGCCAGCTGCTTCTCTCGGACCTTCACCAGCTCCTCCTCCTTGGCCATCATCTCCTCTTCCTGGCGGCTCACCTGCAGCAGCGGTTTGACCTGGGGAAGGAGATGGAGACGGACATGCTCAGCTGAAGACATCTGTCCCAGGCGACAGCGACGAGGCTTTTTCCCCTGTGGACATGTGAGCTCCCGAGGGTGCGGGTAACCAGGCCCACTGCGGGGTACAAATGCGTGCAGCCTTTCTGGAAATCAATTTGGCGCTGTGTGCCACAGGCTTCTGACATTTCAGAGAAACCGTCCCTCTGTAGGCATGAAGATATGCACAGCAGCATTGTTTATAATAACGAAAAATCAGAAACTAGATCAGGCCCTGGCTGGTGTGGCTCCTCGGGCTGAGCGCCAGCCTGTGAACAGAGTCAAGGGCGCGTCTGGGGTGCGGGCCAGGTCTGCAGTTGGGGGCGTGCGAGAAGCACCCAATTGGTGCTTCTCTCACACACATTGAAGTTTCTTTTCCTCTCTTTCTCCCTCCCTTCCACTTTCTCTAAAAAATAAATAATAATCTTTTTTTAAACAGAAGAAATTAGATCGAGACCCATCATTGATAAAGTAGCCAGGTAAATTGTTAATGTCTCTAGGGAAACTTATTCTGCCTTTTTAAAAACGATGCTCGCCCTGGCTGGTATGGCTCAGTGGCATGAGCATCGGCCTGAGAACTGAAAGGCTGCCAGTTCAATTCCCGGCCAGGGTACATGCCCGGGCTGCGGGTCAGGTCCCTGGTTGGAGGCGTGCGAGAAGCAGCCTATTAATGTTCCTCTTTCGCACACTGACATTTCTCTCCCTGTCTTTCTCCCTCTCTTCCCCATCTCTAAAAATAAAATTTTTTTAAAATGATGCTCATAAAGGAATTTTAAATGAAAAATGCAAAATACAAGACTTTATACGAGCCATAGCTCAGCTAAGTGAGAATATATATGGTTTACACAGCAGAGAGACTTACAGGGAGTAAAAAAATGACAGCAACAATAAATATTGAAACAACTATTGAATGTTGACATTGGCTTGGCATTGACAAGATTATGGGTAAATATTCATTTTCTTCTTTATGTATTTTGCAAGCCTAACTTTTCACAATTACTACGAATTAGTTATTATAAGCAGAAACAGATTAAGTGACTTATTAAAAGGGATTTGTTAAGGGCTGGGGAAAGCCCGTCTAGCTGTGCGCAAAGCTTCTGACCGACTGTCCGTGGGCTCCCGGGAAGGCAGGCCCGAGACGTGCGTGGCCGTGGCAGGCGGGGCCTTCACATCCTAGAAGCTGCTGTTTGAGCCGCCCTAGCACGGCCCGACAGCAGGCTGCGGCCTTCCAACCCGGACAAATGCCACAGCTCACATGCCCCTAGACCCCATGGGCAGGACCACCCTGGAGTCACGCTGCCAGGCCCGGGGAGGCAGAGGCAAAGTGTCCCTCCCAGGGACACGAGTCCCACATTGAGCCCCACACTGAGGCCCACTCAGCCCCTCTGCCACGACGGAAGCTGGCAGAGCACGGGCCGGGCAGCGGTGCGGGAGGGCCCTCCCAGGACCCACCTTGGTGAAGAGACGCCACCACTGCCAGTTGCGCAGCTTGAGGTAGGCGGCGCAGTTCCTCTGCAGGACCTTCATGGCCGTCAGCTGCTGCTGCCGCTTGGCAAAGGCCCTGTGGGTGAGGGGCACGGTCAGCACCTCGCAGGGGGACGGCAGACCCCTAAGCTATCAGTCCAGACCTCAGTCCTGGAGGTTTTTCTGGAGGGACGGCCCCTGCCGGGGGCACCTCAGGACAGAAGTGGAGGGAAAGAGGCTGGCTTTGAGCGAGAGACCTTGCAGACAGTGGCAAGGACCCAGGTCACAGGACCACCCTCCTGCACTAAGGGGCAGGAGAGTTCACGAGATGGAAGAGCCCTGGGCAGTAACTGCAGATCCAGGCCAAGCATGACCGCTGCCCATTCAGTTGATCCAGACCTCGGCTTCCCACCCCACCGACATCCGCTAGTGCAGCTTCTAGATAAACAGAGGCTCTGGCTCCCGGCGCTCAGAGCTTAGGCTGCAACGTGCCCCTGAGCACAGACACAGGGCTCAAGAAACCAACGTGCGGCTGCCTCACCCACCGCCCTGCAGCAGGCGAGGCCCTGATCCCAAAGAAGCTGCTTGGCCTAACTGAAGGGCAGCCTCCTCCCCTGGGAACTCAGGGCACTCGGGACGGCCAGGCTCTGGGTACTCTGGGGACAGCGAGGAGTATCAGTGAGCGGGAGCCTTCAGAGCAGACAGATCCAAGCACAGTCACCTCCTGTCAACCTGGTTACTTTAAACAGCAGGCAGAAACCCAGGAAGCAGGGGGTCGGGGAGAGCCACGTGGGTCTCCCTCAGGCAGACACCTGACCAGCACTAGGACTCCCAAGGCCACGGCTCCCTAAAATGCCCGTCTGCACCAGGAGAGCTCGGAGGGGCGTGAATGCGGGGCCAGTGTCTCAGGAACTCACTTCCTGGCCAGGTAGCCCCTACAGCAGGCCTGGAACCCGATGATGACGTCGGTGATCTTCAGGTCCCTCTCCTCCTCCAGGTGGGCCAGCACGCCGGCCCGGAAGAAGACCTTGCTCTGGCCGATGCGGTAGAGGTTGCTGTCGAGCTCCAAGGCTTTGATCTAAACGGAGGAGAACAGGCCATTTACTGCGGGAAACCCAGAGCCCGCGAACAATGCTGACAGCCTGCTTCGGCGGGGGTGGGGGTGCGGTTAGGGGTGGGGGTGCCAAAGGGCCAGTCCTGGCGCTGCTGCTGCTCTGTTGCTCTGCTGGGCAGCCTGTCTCCTGGAGCCCAAGGGGACACTAGGAAGAGGGGCCAGGGGGTCCCAGCATGGGGCAGGGCGACAAGTCAGACCTGAGGAGGAACACAGGACCTCAGCACTAAAGGGAACTGAAAGGCCCTCTCCTCCTTCCACCTCCCGCCTCCGCACGCTGCAGTCACGCTCGGCGAGCGCCCAGCATGCCACCCTCCGACCGAGCACCACCATCGCTGTGGTCGCTGAGAGCAGCACGCACCCCGGAACGGGCCAGGGCCAGGTTCAGAGAGGCGATCCTGGGCCTTAACCCCCACGAGCCCACATTTCCTAAGCCATAAAATGGGAGTGGCTTCACTTGTAAAAAGTTGACAAACAGAGCAAATAACAACACCCCCTTCCCAGCAGAGCTGCGGGAGGGAGTTCACCGAGGGAGGGAACGCAGAGAGTGCGAGCGCAGGCTCCGGCACGTCCCGAACACTGAATACAGGCTGGCTGTCGTTATTATCCAGCAGCTTCAGAGCGGGAGCGGGGCTCTCTTGTGGAGCCCGCTGGCAAGGGTCTATCTGCTTGGCAGAGAAGGGGTGTAGAGCAAGCTCTGACACGGCAGAGCCTTGCCTGGGGTCTGGAGAGCCCCAGAGACTACAAACGGCCTGGCAGGCCTGCACGAGGAGGCCCTGGGAGGAGAAGGCAAAGCCAGCGTGGGCACCTCCCCTCCCTGCACAGGGAGCCTCGGGAGACTCCTCCCACCGTCCCTGCAGAGAGGGGAGGGAAGGGGAACTGCCTGTGTCTTAAGGAGGGACACCCCTCACCTGCCAGCAACCAACCAAGTCTCCTCCAAGAAGGGTGGCCCAGACACCAGCTGGAGGCACCCCCCCCACCCCCGTGCTTCACGCCTTCCTTCCCATCAGCTGGTGAGCATCAGCGAGCAGACAGCTGTGTTTTATCCCTCGGTGGGGCGCTTTGCACACAGTAAGTGTTGAGTTTTTCTTCCCTTTTCTCTCCCACCCACTCCCCACCCCCAGGCTACTGCCAACCCCCCTCCCCCCCAGTCCCAACTCTTTGGAAAGAGTGCAAAGCAAAGCAAAAGCAGTAGCTGCTAACCCTGGACACGTCGGAAACAACAGGACGCCTACAAGGCAGGGAAACTGACAGGCAGGACACAGCCCCAGCCCGGCCGCTCAGTCACCGCAAGGCCCTCACTCGCTCCGTGGAGTTCAGAGTCTCCACCACCTGTTAAGCTCTGCCCTAGGGGTCAGTGGGGAGAGAGGGAAGGGCCAGAAGCGTAGACTTCGGGGGCTCTGGGCTGGTCACAGTGCTCTGGGCCCGCCGCCCGGGCTGCAAGCTGCCCTCCCGAGCACACTGGACGTGACTGTCGGAGACGTGGGCAAGCACAGCACGTGCCCCGAAGGGAAGGAAGCACCCTGTGCGGAGCCCTGCACGCCGCAGCTCCAGTCTCCTCCACGCCCCCTGGCCCCACGCGCCATCCCCGGCCAGCCGAGGGCCGAGGAGGCTGCCGCTCAGGGAACCTGGCAGCACCAGACCTGGAGCCCCAGAAGGCCAAGAGCGCACGGGTGTCATCTGACCCGTGGGGCGCCCTCCAGGAAGACAGGCAGGCACGGGCCACGCAGGCGTGCACCAGCCCAAGGTCCTTCCCGCCACAGGGAGCTCAACTCACCATGAGCACACACGCCTGCTTCCCATCCATGAAGCCCTTGGGGATGGAGTTGGGCGTCAGGATTTCGTATCTGGGGAAGAAAAGAGAAGCCGGGTCAGTTCGCCCCTGGCTCCAACCCCACGTGGCCTGGAACCTACGCGCAAGAGGACCGTCCCGACAGTGCAGCAGACAAAGAAGGCCTTTCGCGTCTCTTCGGAAAAAAGGGTATTTGGCCAGTCCCGCCCTGCTCTCCTCTTAGGCTGAACGGCACAGGGAAGGCTTGGTGTTTTCCGGAAAGCGAATGGAAACGTGCGCCGGACTCACTCACTCAAGAGTGAGCTTCAGGCTGGGCTGCCTCACTGCTAATTGCCCGATATCATGTCCATAACCCCGGAAAGCCACGATCTCTTCCAGGGATGCTGCCGGGCGCTGCTAATAAGCAGGATGGTCCAGACAGAGGGCTGGTCATGACAGCAACTGGCACTAAACGCAGCCATTAGGCAAATAGAGTGTCGTTAATGTCCCTCTCAGCACACACGACAAGAAGCTGCAGTGTTCAGTGACTTGTTTCTACAAAGTCCCTTTAATGCCCCAGTCTCCAGCTGATCTTGGTAAATTTCATTAACTCCTCTAACTGTACAAACACTTGCCAGGCCCCAGAGTCACTCAGCATGAAAGCGAACAAGATTACTTTCATTCAGCATATAAAAGGAGGGGCCCTGGCTGGTGGGTGTGGCTCAGTGGACCGAGTGCCAGCCTGCAAACCAAAGGCACACTGGTTCGATTCCCAGTCTAGGACATGTGTGGGTTTTGGGCCAGGTCACCAGCAGGGGGCGAACAAGAGGCAACCACACATTGATGTTTTTCTCCCTCTTTCTCCCTCCCTTCTCCTCTCTAAAAACAAATATTTTTAAAAGATAAATAAATAAATAAAAATAAAAGGAGGGAAACCCCTTTTCACGTAGGGGGAGGAGCAGAGAAGGAACGCCGGCCAGCCCTCAGCTCCAGGCGGCCAAGGAAAAGGCTTCCCTATCGCAGGTCCCTACCGGAAGAGGCGGGCTGCAGGCCTTGGCTCACCTCTGCCGGAACTCCTGGAAGACCACCCGGTTGGGGAAGCCCTGGCGGCAGATCCGAATGCCCTCAAGAACCCCGTTGCAGCGCAGCTGGTCCAGCACCAGATGGGGATCCAGTTTGCCAGACTAAAAAAAAAAAAAAGCGGACGTGTGTGGTCTTGCTTCTGGGCCTAGGGATTCGTGGAGCAAGGGTGGGCAGGCCCCTCCGGATTCAAGAAGGTGGACGCCTGGGAGTCCCGGCAGCCCACAGGCTTCGATGCCCAGCTGCGCGATGCAAGTCCTAGAGAGGCTGTAAGACAGCGTCACCAGGCGGGAACACGGGCGACGAATGGAGCGCATCTGCGGGGAGAGGCCGGGAGCCAGGCTGCGGAGGGACTGCACTGAGGGGCTCTGCGCGCTGCAGGGGAGGAATCACTGCTGCCCGGGGGGGACGGACAAGGACGGACGTCCACAGGTGTGGCCGCACCTTCTTCTCGTGGTTGGGGATGATGCAGCGGACAAAGTTGGGGTTGGTGTTCCTCAGCGTGGCCATCAGCTTGGCCAGCTGCTCCTTGTAGAGCTGCCCCACGGTGCGGAACATGCCCTTCCGCGTCTTGAAGGCCCCGGGCAGCGCCGTCTCCGACATGCCAGCCACCTGGTCCAGGCCGATGATGCGGTCCACTGCAAAGACCATGCAAAAAGTACGTGACTTTCCAGCAGTCCCAGCAGGGCCAGGCAGAGACAGACATCTGGACAGAAGATGTGAGACCACAGAATGGCGGGACCCTTTCTGCTTCGAGTCCACACACAACCATCCACAAATGTTGAACACACTTGACCTCATGAGCAGGGAGCAGGACAGGGGGGGCTGCACAGCCACTGAGCCTGCTCTCTCCTGGGGAGCAGTCCCTCAGCCTGTTCACATCACCTGTCTCCGGCCCACTTCAGAAGCTTCTGTTCCCCCAGAGACACAATAAAGCCGATCATGTATTTTGGAATAGTGAGCCTGGCCATTCCGCCAGCCTGGTGCCGAGGAGGGGTTAAAACTTGTCTTACAAAATTCTGTACTCCCGTGGCCACTGATGCAAAAACAAAAAACAAACCAGGACCCTGAGCTCCCACTGCCCTTCACCTAGAGCTCAGGGTGGTGGTCAGGAGTGGGCACACTGGGGCCACCCTGCTGTCATCGTGCACTGGGCTCTGGGGACCCCCCATCTGGGACCCGCCCAGGCCGCGCGCTCTGAGCCAGGGACTAGAACTGCGCAGGCTGGTGTCAGAGGCGGAGGGCTCCGAAGACCACTCCCAACGGTGCCGGCCCAGAGGCAGGGCTCCTCGCGCTCTGCAACGTGCTCTGTCTCTGAGCTCACAGACCTTTGCCATCTAAACCAACCTCCGAGGAAGTTGCCCTTGTCACCGTGACTCATGCCCAGAGCAACAAAATGAACCGCTTCCAAGGCATAAACAAAACGACAAACAGACCCAAAGTGGCCAGCGGTTTGAGGTCAGTGTGAAGCAGGAGCCCGCAGTAACTGTGCAGCCTTCCACCGCTAGGTGCAAAAGTTAAGAATTCTGTGGCAATCCATTTCATATTCCTTTGTGGCCAGATCGAGATTATTTATTGGAAGACAGCAAAAAGGACAGAAACTCAAGACAGAAGCCGGGACTGACGATGAACCTGGGTGAAGCAATTAAAACGGGAGGCATTTTGGGACTTCTGCGCCCAGGGCCCATTGTAAGGGCCACCAAAGGTTTCCTGGGAATGGCTCGGCTTGTCGAGGCCGCTCAGCTTGCCCAGAGGAAGATCAAATACGCCCCATAATAACTGGTTGTTTCGTGGGCGCCTGTCCTGCCCCCTGGAAAACCAGCCCCCGGGGAGCAGGTGCTGGCCGAGTGCTTGGCGAATGGACACACGAATGACACTTCGGCTCTCAGGCACGCACACACAAGGCAGCGTGCACAGCGTCCAGACCTCATGCTGAGACACCCGCGGCCATTCACGCAGCAAGACGGCGCCTCTGCCGAGTGGAGCTCGGAAGATGATACGGGTTTTTTAAAAATGACTTTTTTTCCTTTTAAGATCTATAGCAACGTGAAGTCTCCTGATTTGGCCGGTTTTCCACCCGAGGCCTGCAGTGGGTCCAGGGGGGAGGAGCGTCCCGCAAGTCCAGGGGAGACCAGGGCAGGGGCGCAGTCCGGCAGGAAGAGCCCACGGTAAGAAACACTCAACAGAAGCGTTTGTCGCACAGGCCTGGATGCACCACACACGAGGGACGCCACTCTGGGTGGCCCGTCACCTGGTTCTAGGTGAAGAATGGGAAAGCGTTGGTAGAAATAGGCTCTCTGAGTATTCTGCATCTCTGCAACAGAGAGGTTAAAGCAAAACCCAGGCAGAAAGGAGGAGAAACCGGCAGAAACCGTGAGAACACACAAGTCCAAAGCCACCAGCCTACCCAGGAGAGGCGGGAGCAGTGAGGCCTGGGACAGGAACCTGGGCGGCCAGGCTCTGGGCCACCGGTGACTCCCCGCACGTGGGAAGTGCTGTGGCTTGTCCGTGGACAGCAAAGCCCTGAGGGGAAGCGGCTATGCAGTACACTCAGGGGCAGCCTCGAATCGACCTTTTGGGTCGAGGAGATGCCGTCGTGGGAGCTCTGGCGGATGACAGCCCCCCGCGGACTGTGTCAGGTGGACATGTGCCCCTTGTTTGGTGGCTTAGCCACTGCAAAGGTGGGGAGAGGCCCAGCTGCAGCCATGGAAGATGGGGGCGTTGGGGGGAGGGCAAAGGCCTACCATCCTTCCACAGCTCTGAGACAAACTTGTCAGAGGACTGGTGCAGAAGCGTGGCGATGTTGTCGTTCAGGGGGTCCATGTTCTTCATCAGCCACTCATCGGCTTTGTAATCCACCTGCCAGACCAGAGTTCCAAGTCACAGGCCGCTCTGGGGCCACGAGCACGCGCCAGCTGGCCCCAGGTGCGGCCAAGTCAGCACCCGGCCCGGTGCTCCCATCCCTAAGAAGGAAATGACGAGTGACGGGGACTGGAGCAGCAACAGCAACAACAGGTAACGCTGCAGTGTTACAAAGGCAGCAAACAAGTACGTACAACAGCACAAGTATCTAGCAGAGCAGACTAAGAAACTATGTTGCAGCAGCTACGCAATAGGATATTCTTGGTTGTTCTTTATTATTTTTCGGCAACATGACAAGAAAGAAATATCATAGGAAGACACAAGCCAAAATGTTATGATGTTTCTTTTTAGTAATAGGACAAGCAGTTTTTGCGTTTTCTTGGTCTTTCAGGGTGTCCAAGTTTTCTCTATTGAGCATGTATTATTCTTATCTTTTCTGAAACATGTTCTTAAAGGTACAACTAACATGTGGCACATGCTCTGCAAAGATCCCAGAACGACACAAAGAGAGCGGCAGGCCGCCCTGGCCTCTCCGCCCAGCCCACACCACAGTCGCAGTGTGCCCACTGCACTCTGGCTGGCGGTCCCCATGTGCACTCCTGTCGATGGCCTGTGCGATGTTGGCCTCTCTTTCCCTAGGACCAGAGTTACCTTCTGGGAGACAACAAGCTCAAGAACACAGCCACCCGGACACAGCCAGCCTGCTGACCCTTTCAGCTGCAGCAGCGCCGCCCAGTGCCCAGCTGTGGACGCACACAGCCAGTTTCATCATCGCCCAGACACCCTCCAAGGGCTTCGGGTGCGCCTGTTTTCATGTCATAAACAACATGCGATACAAGCCTCCTGTGAGCTCTCTGTGCGTATGCATTTCTAACAAGGGCGGAAGTGGAGATGCACGTTCAGGGGCATAAACATAAACACTTTTTCTGATGGTAAAGTCAACCCTTGCTCGAGCAGCAGCCTTAGGAAGCCAAGGAGCTAAGTGGGAGAGGCTGGGCAGTGTGTGGCCACGCGCAGAAGCGGTGGACAAGGACGGCGTGTCTCTCAGTGGTGCTGTGAGAGCTCCTGGCTCTCCTCACCCGGTCGCCTTGGCGGTAACAAAGCGACTGCCGGTGGTGGCTCTCAACCAGGGAGGCCGTGCCACACCCCTAGCCCCACCACAGTAGCTGTTTGGCAATGTCTGGAGACATTTCTGGTCTCGGGAGGGTGGGAAGAAGCCAGCGATGCTGCCAAACATCCTACAACACGCAAGCTGGTCTGTGACAACAACGAGCGACCCAGCGCTGGCAGTGTGGAGGTTGCGAGGCCTTGCCCTGGAGCACTGGCCCTCGCCCAGCACTGGGCCTCACAAGCTCATTTGATAAATGCAACCCTGTACAGTGTAGTCACCCCCATTTTCCCAACGAGGCAATCAAGGCTCAGAGAAGTTAAGTGACTAGCCCAAAGTCACACAGCAGCAGAGATCTAATTTACAACCCAGAGCCCGAGCCTTCAGCACAAATCTCATTTCCACACTGGGGAACGCACCGAATAATAATACAAATAACACTGTGCCCGAGTACCTCACAGGACTGCTGAAAGCTTCTCGTGAAATGGAACACGGGACGGGGCTGTGCAAGGTGGGCAGTCGTGTGAACGTTGATTATTGCCTCCAGGCACGTTATGGGATGAGTCACTGTCCCGTGCCCCGCGGCTGCCCGGCTCACGGTCCGAAACTCACTTCCACCTCTCCGGAGAGAGGGCCCCGCTGGCACCCTCCTGGGTGCGCCCTACTCACCTTGCCCGCATAGTGCATGATGCAGAAATCGGCTTTGTCCTTCAGCTGCTTGGGCTTCTGGAACTTGGGGTGGGTGCCCTGCTCCTGCACCACCTTCTCTACGAAGCTCTTGTCAGTGGCTTTGGGGAACCAGCACTCCTCATCCAGCAGGGCCAGGATGCCGGGGGGGCCTGCCTGCGGGAAGCACAGCGTCGTTCAGGTGAGTGTGACCTGGAAACCCCACCCCACCCTGCCCTCACAAGAGGCTGAAGCCTGGGGGTTTCTGGGAGTTTTCAGAACCCAGAGAATCTCACCAGAAGGTAGGCAGCACTCCCCCAGTAGGAGGAAGAAAGCATGATGGAGAACACTCAGTGCACGAATTCTAATTTACAAAGAAACTTCTGAGGTTCAGGCTGTGGCCAACACACCTTAACCCAATGACCCATCATGGGGATTCTCCAACCTCAGTGCTCTGAAAATCACCTGGCGGGCTAGATGGGCCGTGGAGACCCCTGATCCATGCGCTCAGAGGCTCCCCTCGCCTGGCGCCCCTGCCCCTGCCGTCACTCTGCGACACCGCCCCACACACTGTGTGTCTGCACAACTGTGTGGTGAGACATGACACGCAGGACAACCTTCGAGGAAGAGAAAGTACACAGAGCCCCGGAGCCCTCGTACACCGAGTTCTTAAGGAAGCCGATTCAGACCCCGCTGAGACCGGCTGAGCTGACGAGACTCGAAGCCGGGCGGGCCCTTGTTCATTGGAAAACCCAACTAATTACAACAACTCATCACAAAAGTAAATGGCTTCATGTCAGGATCATGGATGGTTTCAACCTTCCACCTTTGAGTACAAAACGCACAAACTTCTCTCTAGGCCTTCTGATCAATTAATACCTCAGTGTCACTCTGGTGTACATGTTCTCAAGCAGCCCAGGATTTGGGGGAAATGTGAGCTCAGTGAAATTTAAATTCAATCAAGACATAACCCAGGGCCCTGGCTGGTGTGGCTCAGCGGGTTGAACATCATCCCGCAAACCAAAAGGTCACTGGTTCAATTCCCAGTTAGGGTACGTGTCTGGGTTCCAGGCCAGGTCCCTGGTTGGGGGCATGCAAGAAGCAACGAATCAATGTTTCTCTTGCACATCAATGTTTCCCTCCCTTTCTATCTCCCTCCCTTCCCCTCTCTCTAAAAATAAATAATATCTAAAAAAAAAGACATAACCCAGAAACAGAAACAGCTCAGGCTCCAAAAGAACACCGCCCCCAAACCTAACCCAAACTGCACCAGGCAAGAGCTTTCGGTATAAACTGACGGCCCAGGGGAAGGGCTTCCAGCTCCCGTACCGCCAGCAGGCAGCGCAGTGGCTGTGGGACAGAAGTCCAGGGGCTGTGTCACTGCTATGACAGGATGGGACAGATAGCTTCAACACACGCACCAGAAACAGCATTCAATGAATGCCCTGGGCACGCACCATCCCACACTACAATGATGGCATCTGGGGCCGGGATCTCCCTACATAAAAGCACGCCTGTTTCTTTAGGACAAAGACAGGCTTGCTGAGCCCATGAGCCTGTCCATCAGGTAGATGCTGGGTGGTCTTCTGAGACTAAGAGAGGAAACCCGGGCATCAGCCACATCGCCACCTGTCGGCAGCTGTCCGAGGCTCCCAGGCACCAGATCTGAGCCCCAGAGCTTATCCCGCCAGGTGGCGCCAAGGGGGGAGGACCTAGACACCCACGACCATCATGCAGTGGGAGGTGAGAAGAGGGTCCCCAGAGGGGACGAGCGAGGCCGGGCCAGGTCTGAGATCCGAGCAGCGTTGGCTCTTACTGGCTTCTCGATGAGGTCGATGCAGGGCTGCAGGTCCAGGCCGAAGTCGATGAAGTTCCACTCGATGCCCTCGCGCTGGTACTCCTCCTGCTCCAGGATGAACATGGTGTGGTTGAAGAGCTGCTGCAGCTTCTCGTTGGTGTAGTTGATGCACAGCTGCTCGAAGGAGTTCAGCTGCAAGGAAGGAGAGCAATGTCAGGGAGCTGCCACCACGGGGCCACACCCACCACGTGGCCCCCCGGGACCCAGAGCCCCTGGGGAAGGAGTGGGACAGGGACTCAGAAAGGACCTCCTGGGGCACCTCAGTGCTGGCCCCTGTGGAGCCCAAACGTTCAGGGGGCTTCCCTTAGCACACCAGCTGTGGGGGGTCTTCACTTGCAGAGGCCCACCAACCTCTCCAGCAGCCTGGCAAGGCGCTTCTAAGAATGTTTTAAAACCCATACAATTACATACAAAGAAAGAAGTTATATTGAAACATAATTACCAAAATATTGAGACACAGTAATACATTATGCTTCTTTATTAACAAGCCCCAGCCATGGGCTTAACTTCTAAAATGTTGAAGTTAAGTTTTGAAGCAGAGCCCTGGCTGGTGTAGCTCAGCAGCTTGAGCTTTATCTCACAAACTGAAGGGTCGCCAGTTCGATACCCAATCGGGGCACATGCCTGGGTTGTGGGCCAGGTCCCTGGTTGGTGGCGTGCAAGAGACGAATGATTGGTGTACCTCTCCCTCTCTTTCTCCCTCCCTTCCCCTCTCTCTAAAAGTAAATAAATAAAATCTTAAAAAAAAAATAAAGTTTTGAAGTAGAGATGAACACAAACAATATTCCATCTCTGCCACAGCACGCGAGAACCTGATTTCTAATGCACCCGCGGTCTGTGCGGTTTTGCTCAAGTCACAGCGGAAAACAGTGTGGGGTTTCAACGAGGGGCTAGTGAGAAATGAGGAGGCATTGTTCACCCCACCTGAACTCATGCCGCTCTGGAACTACCATCGTAATGAGCAGTTTTTTCCTACGAGGGCTCAAAGTCTTTATGGGTAGGGGCAGTGTTTTGTCCCAGTGCTCAACACACACACACTAGAAAAGTAAACCCACGGGAAGACCTGCCCAGGGAGCCCCCCGGGCTGCCATCTGAAAGTCCGATTCTCGCCAGCACCGCTGGTTGGCAATGGGCATGCTCCATTCGGCTTAAAATACGCCCAACTGCGCTCTCCTGTCCCCACAAAAGAAAGACGGACGACCCAGGTGGCTGTGGAGCCACTGGACAGAGGACTCGGGGACAAGGAGAAGGCGGTGAAGGGGCCACGGAGGCGGAGAGGGGGCACTCAGGCAGGAGGGAGACACTCACGTCGAAGATCTCGAAGCCGGCGATGTCCAGGATCCCGATGAACGAGGCGCCCTGCCGCTTGGTCTTGTCCAGAGCCTTGTTGATGCGCAGCACCAGCCAGCGGAACATGCGCTCGTAGGTGGCCTTGGCCAAGGCCTCGATGGCAAAGTCAGCCTGCGGGGAGGAACGCCCAGAGAACAGAGTGTCAGGTGCAAGGAGCCTTTAAGTAAACCTGTCCCCTCTGCCCCAGTTACTTCACCTGTGGGGCACTCCCCGTGAGAAACAGCCCTAGAAATGGGGGGGAAGCTTCCTGCACAAACACGTTTGTGGCACCCTAACTATCCAACAGTTCAGAAACAGGAGACTTAGAAACTGACATTTGCAAAGACCTTTTTAAAATAAATGGAGACATAACTAAAGTACCAACAGAAGAAAGGACACGACATCTGAGATTTACTTCAAATAGTGCAGTCGGGGCGGGAGCTGGGGAGCTGGGGTTAACGATGGGCCAAGATTGACTGGCCATGAGACAGTCACTGTTTACGACACCTGTGTGGCCCTGGCTGGTGAGGCTCAGTGGATTGAGCACCAGCCTGTGAACCAAAGGGTTGCGGGTTCAATTCCCAGTCTAGGGCACATGCCCAGTAGGGGGCACATGAGAAGCAACCATACATTGATATTTCTCTTCCTCTCTTTCTCCATCCCTTCCTCTCTCTAAAAATAAGTAAATAAAATCTTAAAAAAAAAAAGCGACGCCTGTGTGATAGGCACACACGCTCATTATACCATCCTCTCTGCTTTATCTGCCAGCGTTCAGACAGCTCCATAATACAAAGCCAGGGTGACAATTAAGTTTTTTAAAAGAAAGGAGAGGCCTTGCAGGAAATAAAAAGTGGCCCAAAGACTGCCACCAGGTAGGACCACGGCACTGTTTTCCCTTCTCTAGACTTCCCTGTATTTCCCAAGTCTACAGTGTTTGTCTGTGTAGCGTTTTCATGGGGGAAAAAATAAAGGTTCTAACTGGCAGGAAAATGAACAGTTGGGAACAATTATGCACGCTGTCTCAAAAACAATGTTCCTGGCTCTGGTGGGACGGCTCTGCACAGAATCACCCGCAGGCTGTCGGCCACCAGCATGAGGAACAGAGGATGACACTCTTTGGGAAAAAGATTCATCAACTTGAACTTCCAAATATTTTTGAGAGATGAGGGTAGCACCTTAAAAACGCCCCTTGCCATGACAGAAACTAGAAACCACCAGCAGAGGGGAAAGCAGTGCCCCCCTGGGAGGGACCTAAGCTCCCGGGGCAGGTGGGCACATCCGCAAGGCGCGGCCCAGGAATAGGCTCCGGCTCGCCTCTCACCACAGGCAGCAAGACAGCAGGCGGTGGAGAGACGGCCACTCGACACAGGCCCCGAGGACAGTGGGTGCCGCCACTGAGGCACTGGAAACCTCATGTTCTCACTTTAGACCAAAACGAGACAGGCTACATCCTCGCTGGCCAATCAGTCTGAACACCGACTCGATGCAGAGACGCCCAGCACAGCCTGCAGAGGCCCCACCTGAGCACGGCCCTTCCTAGGCGAGTCGCCGTGGGGACGTTCCTGAACTTCTCAGGATCAGCTCCCTTGCATTCTTAATGGAGTAAACACCACCCTGCTCTCAGGGCTGATGTGAGGGCTGGATGAGGGAACCCACGCATAGCGCCTAACACAGCGAATGCCCTCAAATGGGCCGCTGCCACGGAGGAGCAGCCCGACCGCCCTGCCGGGGGCCTGCGTACCTGTTCCTTGGTCTGCGCCTTCTGGACATAATCCCGCCCCACCTTGATGCGAGGCGTGAGGATTCCTCTGGTGAAATCGGTCACATTGATACCCAAGAGGTGGGATACTTTTTGGGCAGCTAATGTTCAAAGAGAAGGGAGTGAAAAGTGTTAGTTAAACCCAAGAGAACAAGTTCCTCTTCTCAGTCTGGCCGTGAAAAAAGCTCTGATGGCAGCTGAGCAACCATTACCAGGAGGACTGATTCCGGAACTTTCTCAGCAGGCAGACACCCAGCTCTCCCCCCCTTCAACCCAGCGGGCAGGGCAGGGAGGCACGCGTCCTAACCGGGGGCACATCGGGTCCTCTGCACACTCTCGGCCGTGTGCCCAGTGGGCAGTGGGTCCCACCCTCAACGAGGACCAAACACAGGCAGCCCCTCCAGGCCCCGATACGAGGGGCCCAAACGGCACACGTCCCACAGAAATATCTTTTCATCCACGCGCCCACACCTTAAGTTTTTTTCAAAAGCCCCTAAAAGGGCACATTAAGGCTGATAAGTTAACTGGGGTCATGTGCAGTGACCCAAAGGAACAGCAGCGGCCACGGCAGACGGAGCGACAGCAGTGACCCAGGGCCCTAACGCCTTTGAGGGGAAGTGCGCACTGAGCTGGAGCGGTGACACAGACCACTGGTCTGGTCTCGGGAACGGGTGAGGGCGACCCTGGTCCACAGGACCGCAGGCTTCTGACTCACTCTGGTGCCCACTCTGTGAGGAAGGGTCTCGCTCCCGGGTGTTTTAGACAAAGTGTGGTGACAGCCAGCCATAAGCACACACCACGTGACAGAGAGGGAGGAGTCTGGGTCTCTACAGGGCTTCCTCCCGAGCTGACCCCAGCCCAGGCACCTGCCCCGAGTCTCGGGGAGACCCCCGTGTTACCTGTATTGTCGGGCATGGACGCCTGGTCGGTGTTACGCTCCTTCTTGAAGACGATGTTGCCGAGCTGAAGAACCCCCGAGATGACCCGCAGCAAGCCTTGGGATGCAATCGAAGGCAGCTCAGAACCGGGCGGGGGGGTGGAATAAGCCCTGAGCAGGCCTTGGCCTAGTCCACGTGGACTAGGGCTGGGGCGCAGCACCCCGGGGGGCTCACGCCCCCCCTCCCCCAGTGCCTCTGGCAGACATCAGCCTGTACTTAGATACAAGCTCTGTTAATCTTCCCAACACATCCAACATGTCTAAATCCAGGCCAAGGATATGCCTCTAGCCCAGGGGCCACTGTCTGTTTTCATACATAAAGTTTTATTTAGAACACAGCCGGCCCATCCAGTTGCGGTTGAACAAAGGTGGCTCCAACCTTAAGGCTAGGGAGTGAGCACACCCTCTGCTACTTTCTAAAAGAAAGCCTCCCGGCCCTCTCCGCACCCCCCCACACCGGGAAAGGAGAAGACAGAGGCGGGTTTCACACCCCGATTCATTCCAGGCCTCACCAATGCAAAGATCCCAGGCCCAGCCCATTCTACATTCCCCCAAAACAAGGCAGGAATATTCTACTTTCGGCAAATGACGAGGACGACAGCAGTGCACCCAGGCCCTGGGCAGGCAAGCACCTGTGCTTTGTTCCCCTCTGCGCAAACACCACGGGGAACCAAACAGCCCTGGAACTCAAACCCGAGGTACCATCTCCCGCACACTCGCGGCCTTCCTCCTGGCTGCGACAGGGCTCCCCAAGAGTCCGAGACAGCGGGAAGCTCTCCCCAGGCCCGTCGGCTGCCCTGACAGCCAAGAGGACGTGGCGACCAGCCTCCGGCCTCCCTCCCTCACCCACAGGAGGGCCAGCCCCGTACCTATTTGCTCCTCTTCTGGGATGCCCATAATCCTCATGGCCTCCATGGTCTCCTGGAACATGTCCTTGTCCTGCTGACCAGGAATGGTGACGTGCCCATTGGACAGGAAGCGGTATTTGTTGTATGGCTCCAGCAGGAGATCCGCTGTGAGGGGTGGGAGGCAAGGGCGGTCGGTGAAGTGCTAACACCAGAGGTTCCGGTCAACGCCAACACATCAGCGGTTTGGGAGACCGGGAAGTCCCCCGGAGCCCCGCGGTACCCCAGAACCGCGGAGCAGCCAGGAACGCGGCCTGTCTGCAGTGTGTGAGACCGGCATGCATGGAGCCTGAGAGCCTCGGAGGCCGTGACTCACAGACGCACATGCAGCCTGCCCTGGCTTTGCTCTGGTGCGGTCAGAAACAGAGGCCGGGCCCTCAGGATGGCCCGGAAAATGGAACTCATCTGGCTTCTCCTCCCCAGCCCAAGGCCAGAGTGTTCATTTCCCAGCGGGAGCCTGTGGCCAGACCGCGGCTGGAGCCCCCGGGCCTGGCAGCCCACGCGTCTGGCCGTGGGCCCTCTACTCACTCTTCAGGTGCTCTCCAGCCCCGGACAGGAGATAGTAGAAGATGTGGAAGGTCCGCTCATCCTTGGCTTGGCGGATGGCACGAGATTTCTCCAAGAGATCTTTGCAGACGTTGAGGAGCTGTGCGAGCTGGAAGGAAGGCAGCCCTCCCCATTCCTCCAACTCCCACCAAAAGCCCCTGAGCTTCCCCAGGTGCCAAGAATGGCACAGAACGGCCAAATGAAACAAAAGCATGCTCTCGTGGCTCTATCCTTCCAGGGTGCAGCCTGTCCAAAGAACAGCGCTCACACTCGGGAGCCTTGTCTACTTCAAGGGCCCCCTTCTCAAGAGCTGAAGGAGCTCAGGAGACTCCCACTGGCAAAGGCTAATAATGCTGGTGTAGGGGAGAAATAAGTTAGTCTTCACCCCAACGCTGCCTCTCTGGGCACCACACTGGATGAGCTCCAGCAGTCCCACCCACTCGAAGCGGAGCCTCATCCTGCGAGTAAAGAAACTCCTGGCTCTGGCTGGGTTTCCAAAGGGCCTCTCCTGGGCTTTTCCTGAGGCCACAGGGGAGGTGTCATAACAGACCCATAAAGGGAAGCTGCTGGAATCGGGAAGCAGCTTCTCCTCCATCAAAGTCACTTCCCCCACAGCATTCTTACTCCAATTAGCCACAAGGATACAAGTCTCAATATTGGCTCCCACGATGTAGCCATTGACGTCGAAGTTGATGCGAATGAATTTGCCCTAGGAAAGAAAGACCACGATGAGATCAGAGGCCCCTCCCTCCAGGCCCCACCTCCAGGTGGTAAAGCCTGGAGGGAGAAACCCAAAAGACTATGTCACGTGCCTGGTGGCCAGGGGCCCCGCACCCCACACTGTGTGGGTTCCCGGGACTCAGAAGGGCCACACTGCTTCAAGCCTGGAACCAGGATGAGGTCCGGTGGCACCCAAGTTCCTCAGCAGGGGCAGGGGAAGAAGTGTTCTTCGCTGCCTGATCGGGCCTGGGGTTCTAAAGGGTCACTGGCTGCACCGGCACAGCCAGAGGCACCAGCAGTGAAGAAACCACTCACACAGGCGCGTACTGGCTGGGGCACAATCCCGACTGCCCCGCACAATGGGCCCAGGAAGCACTAAGTCCGAATCTCCCTCACTCTTAAAGCCAGGGAGAACACCCAGCTGGAAGGCACCACGTGCCAAAGCTCTGAGTAGGAGCGTCTGCCCCACGAGCTGGGATGCGGTCGGCCACTACTCACGAATCGCGAGGAGTTGTCGTTCTTCACGGTCTTGGCGTTCCCGAAGGCCTCCAGGATGGGGTTGGCCTGCAGCAGCTGCCGCTCCAGCTCGCCCTGGAAGGGAACCCAGAGGTGCAGTGAAGGCCAGGCAATGGCTTAGGCTGCCAAACCTGCTCTGCCAGGTGGAGGGGACAGCGGCAGAGCCATGTCTACAGGCCCAACAGGCCTGCAACAGAGGCTTCTGGTGGCCCTCCACGCCAGCCTCAGCCTGGGCCCTGTGTCACTCAAGAGCAACCTTCCTGCCAGGCCTCCAGAGACCTTGGCTGGTTTGAACATAGTTCCCTGGACTGACCACCAGCAGTCCTTAGCAAGGAAGGGAAAGCGCAAGTAACCCAGCTCCAGGAACCTGGTACAAGGACCCCAGACCAACCCGGAGGATACATTGGAAGACAGCACATGAACCAAAAAAGAGACAGGGGGGCTCTGTTCCTTCTCCCTCTGCCCTCCTTGCCTCAGTACCCACCAACACGCCACGTTTTTCTCTGCTTCACAGGACAGATCTATGAAAGATACAATCTCACCTCATCCGTGTCCTGCTAAACACTGCACTTCCCTTGCTGGTCCCATCCTGCCACCCCCAAACCTGCGTCCCAGCACATCAGGTATCTGAACTTGGGACCAACAGGACTCTGATCTGCTGGTCAACACCAGTAAACTCTCCTTGTAGCCTCGTGATGCTTTGCGGTTAGCAAAACGCACCCTTATGCCTTCTTCTCCCTGGAGTCTCGTCGTACCCGGGGCAGACAAAGCAGAGTAGCCCCATTTCAAAGAAGAGAAAGCTGAGGCTGAGGGAGGGAGAATGATCTGACTGAGGTCATGCAGCTATCAGCCGGCAATGCAGGTATTTATTGCATTTGAGTCTTCTACCAACAGCTGTCAGTCACTGACATCCTCTCGCCCTGCCCCGCCCCCCTTGAGGGCTCTACCTGTCAGGTCAGAAGCAGCCATTGTCCTCCCAGCAGGCCAGATAATACCTGGCACTGGCCGAGGAAAACATGGGTCTCATTCACCTTAATACCTGGGTACCCTCTATGGGAAAAGACAATCCTGTGAGGGCCAGGCTGGGCTCTGTATTTATTAGCAACGCTGGAGTCAAGCCAGGACTTGACGGGAATAAAGGCTGCCTGTGAGTGATGAAGAGGAAGACCGGTAGCAGCGGGACCTCCCGGGAGAGTCATGAACTAGACTTCCAGGCACACCTGCCACAGACGAGGCCTGGATGCACAGCGCTGAGCAGGCAGGAAATGCACCAGAGACCAGAAGGGGTCTGGCAGACCCACCCCCTCCTGGGCCTGGGGGAGTCTTCTATTCTCAGACTGTACGGCCAAGTGAAGGAGGACCAGAGCAGCCAGGTCAAGGGGCAGGAGTCCAACACCCACAGAGCAGGCTCTCCATATGCGCCTGGTACCAGTGGTCACAGCACAATGGACTGCCTGCTCCTGGGACTCAGGCAGACCAGGAAGTCAGCAAGGCAGCCCACGGGGCCAGATCTGATTGACAGCTGCTCCCCCACCCACTAAAACATCCTCTCAAAACACGTGCCAGGCACTGGCTGAGCCACTCCCATTCCCGCAGACAGATGGGAGCGTGGCCCCAACTATAATCTGCCACCACCTTGGCTTGGAGGCAAACCTAAGGCCTCTGTCTCGGGACCATGGGTTGTTGCCATGGAACACAGGATAGCCAGACCAAACTCAGAAGCAACCATTTGGGATCCCAAAGGCCAGCTCCCTGCTGACGATGGTGATGACTAAGCTAGGGGGTTTTCTTTATTGATACCTATTTGGGCACAGAGGACTTACTTTTTCAATGAAATTTGCATAATATGAAAGTAGGAGGTACTGTAGGCAATGTATTCTCATAAGGTTTGGGATTACCCATCTGGTTTCTGAAAGGCTTCACTGGGGGGTGTTGCTGGCAACGAACTACAACTGGTGCATAAAAAACAGAGGAAGGATGGGAGGTGGGGACAAAGGTCACTGTTCAGACCTCGGAAGTCCACATGGGCTGGGAAGTCCCTTCGCTCAAGCCCTACTTTGCCAACGTGCAGCCCCGCCAAAGCCCAGCCTTCCCACAGCAAGGTGAGGCCGGGGCCGTCCCGGTGGGTGGTCTTGGGACAAGCAACTGAGTCACTCACTGCACGGGGGAGAGAGCTCTGCCACGGCATGCCACAGCAGGCCTCCAACTGCAAGAGCAGTAAACCACGTTCAAGAGTGTCTCGTGGCCCAGCCGGTGTGGAAAATCACCTTACAGCTTCAGGCAAAGAAACAAACCAACATGGTCAATGACCTTTACAACCGGGGGCCTGGGCAGTGATCAGAGACCAGAGGCAACCTGTTCTGTCACTGGGGTGGGACGTGGAGTCGGAGACAGGGCACCCAAAAGCCTAAGGAAGAGGATGTGACACATTTGCTTCCACTTATCACGCCCCCTCCACATGCCATCTTACCTCGGGGCCGGGGCCTGCCTTCCCCTCTGCAGCCGGAGCCCCGCGAGTAACACAAGTGGGTCTACATTCCTGCTCTCTAACTGTGGTCTCATCTCAGTAGGGACTCCAAGGTCACCCTCCAGAGGCCCGGGCACATACTAGGCATTTAACAAATAGTTGGGAAGTGGATTTTGCAGCAAATTCAGAGAGGGAAAACCATAGCTAGAGAATGCCTAACCTCACAGCCCTGTTTTTAAAATAGGCCTCCTAAAAAGAATGGAAAATGGAGTGGAGGGAGGGAGCAAAAGAAACTTTATTAGTTTCTAAATATAACTCCTGACGCCCCATGGAAAAAGATTCAGAATGTCTTGGGAAGCTTGGCACATGAAAAGTTACTTTTGGTTCCGTTCCAGAAGACTGTACTCATCAGGACATTCTGCAGCACACGCCCAGGTCCGCATGCACGGAGACACACACCACCACTTACTTACGTACGCTGCACACAGCGGCCCGCCGGGGTTGGGGGGTGGGGGGCCACCCAGAGAGCACAGTTCCCCTGGCAGCTTGAGGGGACACCACGGACACTTAGATTTCACAGGGAAGTTTATGAGTGTGTGTTTAAGAAAAAGAGAGAGAGCACCACACAGGCATGCTTAAGACTGACCACCCCCCACTCTGGCGAAGTCCACCATAGGCCTTCCAGGCACTGCTTCTGACCAGCACAGTGCGGGCAGGCGAGGGGGCCGGCCATCTCCACCCTGTCCATAACACCGAGCTCATGGGGCTGTGGGAGAGCATATCCCCATCCCGCTGTGCCAGGGTCAGGGCTCTGCACGGGGCGTTATGGCTGTCGTGCGCGTAGGGGGTTCTGGGCGGGCCTGGGATTTCTGAGAACAGCTAGGTGATGAGGCCCATAACCATCCTGCAGGAGCCGTCATTTCAGAGTGCACGAGAGGTCACCATGTGTCACATCCAGCCCCCCACCTCACAAGACAGTCAGTGAGCCGAGCCGATGAGAAGAGTTCTAGCCGCAGAAAGTGACAATGGTGTGGAGTGAAAAGCTGCTTAGGAAAAAATACGTAATTCAAGGGCACACGATGATCAGAACACGCATTCCTGGTGCAGAACGTGCAGTAAACGTGCAGCTCACCTAGCGAGGACACTGCTGAGTTCGACCATAATCCACCAAGAGGGAGAGGGAGAAAAAGGGAAGTGAGAAGACTTTCCAACTGCCCTTTCTCTCTTCTCTGGGGGGCTGTCCACCCAGCGGCATGTCAACGGCAGGGAACCGAATGCAGGCCTGCCCGAGATCCTGCAAGACTCCATCATCTTGAGAACCAAGTTTTGGAATCCCTCTTCCAACCTCAGAGGTGGAGACCACATGGCAATTAGCTGCCAACCCCCAGTGGGCTCCAGTTTCCATAGCAACTCAGAAAGTTGGGAGGCCAAGGGAGAAACGAGCTGGCTACCGATGGACGCCCCCAAGATGGCCACACGGCAGCTTCGATGAAAGCGGGCCCAGCTACTGCCTCGTTCCCCAAATGCTCTCATTTTAAGCCGAGCCACGAAGCATTAAGTGATCTCCCTCGTGGGGAGGAAGGCCCCCACTCACCTGGTCCTTCTTGCTCTTGTGTGAGGAGGCCACGTGAGCCAGGTACTGAATGACTTTCTTGGTGTTCTCGGTCTTGCCGGCTCCAGACTCACCCCTGCAGAGAGAGACAAGAAGTTCTCAGGGCGGAGGTGGCCAACCCCTGAAGCCTGTCCCTCCCCCACTGCAAGCGCTACTGCCTACCTCTCTTCTGAGTGTCAGTGAGGCACCCAATGCCTAGTGGCAGAAAAGGGGACAGGCAAACAAGTGCTATTTCTGGAATCCTCACTCAGGCCGTTTCTCATGGCCCCGCTGCCTGCCCTGGCTATTTGGCAGCCTCGGCAGCCAAATGTCTTAGGAATCGGTTAGCGGCAGCTGTTGACCCAGGGGTCACAGGCGCTCATGCATGTTCCCTCAAACTGCACTAGAAGGAATGTCCTGTGCCGCTAACTCCCTCTGCGACGGGGCTTATTTATCTCCTTGTTGAGTTCAGAGGATGAGGGGGCGGGGCCCAGCGTCCACTTCCATCCAGGTAACGGGAGCCACCGCTCAGAGCCAGGAGAGACGTGCTCTGGAGGGGCCGACCGCTGCTGGCCCTGCTCTGTGGGGAAGACCCTTGCTTCTCCCCTCTGCTATGCACCTGCCTCACCGCCCGTCAGCTCCTTTGAGGAAGGCGATCAAATCTGGGCCCCTGAAATAAAGCTCATCCCCACTGCGGGACGCTCAGTAGCCCGTCCCTTGGGGAAGGGGCAGGGCTTGAGTCGGGAATAGAAGTCATCGGCCTGGGTTTGCGTGGGTGCCCTCGAGGGTCAGAGCAGAGGGGACAACACACCCAGCACCCTGACAGGAACACTTACGTGCACAAAATGGACTGGTCCTCTCGGTCTGAAACAGAGAAGGCATCGGGTTAACTTCTACCAGATACGAGAGCCTCCCCCCGGCTTCCGACGAGCTGCCGCACACGCTGACCCACGCCCCACTCGGAGAAGGGGCGCACATGCTGACCCACGCCCCACTCAGAGAAGGGGCATTCCTCGGCTCAGCACCACTCACTGGGCAGCAGCTCCTCCTCCAGGAGCTCCGGCTGCCACCCACACTCCCTGCCTCCCCGCCCCATGACCCCAGACACAGTTCTGGCTCTCTCACTTTTGAGAAGGTCCGTCTAAGAAAAGCTCTCCAGGAGTCTGCTTTCCTGAGTGCTAAGGTGGGGCGTGCCCTGTGTGTTTATAAGTGGGGGTTCAGGCTGCTGGAAATCGGGCCTGTGGCAGGTATTTCAAGCACTGTCCACAGCCGAGTAAGAAGCACCGGTGAAGAGGCGCGGAGAGGGGTGTGGTAGATGGGGCTGGCTTTGCAAGGGGACAGCCCTGGGGCGAGGTGCTGCCTGGGACACGTGCCCAGGCTCCCGGAGCCCAAGCCTCCTCCTGGGATGGGGAGTAATCATACATGTGCAAATAGCGTTCATGAAAGCACCAGCACGGCACCTGACACGTGGGAACCGCTCAGTCGTGTCAATTTAGGCAACTTGGGAGAAAAACAGAAGTTCACCAGAATCACAGCCTCTGGCCAGTCTAGTAACAACTGGGTCTCCAGGGCTGGCTGGCAGGAGCTTTCCGCAACTCTCCCCAGCGCGTGAACCTCCCCGCAAGTGAAGATATAAACGACGCACTTCCCCCGGGCACAGCGGGGACAGTAATACCCACACTTCGAAGCTGAGTTTGACAGAAATGCTTTAAGACCTTCGAGCCAACCAGTGCTAGTGCTGGGAGTCTAATTTTAAGCAATGTCTGAAAATACAAACTCGTGTTTTCCCCTTTCATCCCACCCGATGCAACATGCCCAGCTCAAGAAAGTCAAATCAGCCTGAATCCGGGACCCGATTACTCACTAACATTGGAGCCATGGAGAGTAATCCCTCCTCTGAATTGCCTTATAAAGTGAATACACCCCCACCTCCCTGGGAGGACTGGTTTGCAGGACAGAAACAACACAGGAACGGACCCAGGCTGCTGCCCATGTGCTTCCCCAGCAGGAGGCCGCCCGGACCGGCTGGCAATGGCACTGTCCGACCAGCAGGAGCGCTTCTAGCTGTCGGCACAGCTACTGGGCAGAAACCCACGCTGGCCATCTGGAAAGACACACTCACTGGCCCCCACTGCCGGCCAGGCCCTGCAGGACAGGGCCCCGGGAAGTGACTCGTGCCTTCCTGTGTGCATGGCCTCAGGGGGCAGAGGTGAGCCACCAGCACCCCCGATCTCTCAGAGCACTGGGCTGGGCACTCACTACCCTCTCTCTTCTGGTCTGCAGGTCACTCGGGAGGGGAAGAGGGAGTGGGACAGAAAGGGGGAAACTACACCTAATAGCCAACACAAGCAGCAGCTGCCCATCCTCCTCCACAGCCGCCCCCGCCCCCACTGAGAAATAGCAGGGTGGGGGCACGGCGGGAAGTCAGCCATTCCCCTTCGCACAACCCCACCCCCATCCTGCTCCCCACTGCGGGCTGCTCAGAGCAGGCCCCAGAGAAGCTGGTAACCTTGCCTCCCCTATCTCGACTTCCCCACAAAACAGGGTCCCTCAAGGCTGCAGCCAGGGCTGAGGGCTAGCGGTTGGGGAAGACAAGCAGTTTCCATCGCCCGCCTGCTAAGTGCAGTGTGGCAACTGAGAAGGGTCTGGGACAAAAACGCTGTGATCTGGGGCCCCGGCTTCCCCACCACATCTTCCTGGGCCCGCCCCAGCTGCAGGCATGTTTAGGCACCGCTCACGAGGGGGCAAGACTGTACCTGCGAGTGCTGGCAAGTCGCGAGACAGCAGCAGCCGGCATGACCATAAAAGGAAACGTTCCCATCCCTTCCCGAAGGAACCGTTTCCCAGAACTGCCTAGGCCTGGTCCCTGGGATGGCTGGAATTCCTCTAATTGTGTGAGGAGCCAGACGCCAAGCTGCTGAACAACAGGAAGCACAGCCCTCCCTGCCACACTCGCACACGTGGGTTCGAGCACATAGGTGCATGTTCACACACAGACACACACGCACACACAGGGACATGGGCAAGCTGCACACGGACACTCATGCACACACAGGGGCATGGGCAAGCTGCACACGGACACACATGCACAGGCACACATAGGTACATGTGTAAGAGATGCATATGCACACAGATCCCTGCACACATCAATTCCAATTCCAGACCAGCCTCATTATGTAACCTCCATGTACCCGATTCCCGGACCCCAGCTCTTCCTCTCCTCTGACCGTTCACCTCCAAGTCCTGAATTCCAGATAGCACTGTTAACATGGGCTAAGAGGAAAGACTCCGAAACTTCATTTTTCACTTTCAAGAGCCCTTAATTCACTGTGCCAAAACATTCATATGGGCAGATGCTTTCGCAGAGGAAAACTGGTGGGAGGCCTGTCCCATTTCCTCAACTCTTGTCCCCACCAGCTGGTGCCCCAAGTCCACCCGCCTACCATGCATGATACCATGGCCCCTACACATCAGGAAGGTCTTTTCAGTTCGTACAGCAGCTTTGGGTCTGTCATCTTGCGGCCTTACAGGGACCCGAGGGGCAGGCCAGGCAGGCAGTGTCCCCGCTTTGCAGAGGCCTACTCTCGCGGCAGTTCCTGTTTCATTCCCAAGCTGTCCCTGGGCTGGCAGGAGGGTTAGAGCTCTCGGCCACCAGTCGGCTCACCCCCTGACTCCGGTAGCTCCACATCCCATGAGGACCCTCCTTAACACTCACTCCACAGGCCCTTCCCCACACGGGCGTCTCCGTCTCACAGGACAGGGACACCCAAGAGTCCAGCCCGCTAGGTCGTTTTGGTTCACGGCCTTATTTGGGCCCGTTCGGACTAATTAAGGGCTTATTTGAAAACACCCTTCCTTCCTTCATTCATTCACACCAGAGGAGACAGGAACCCTGTACCCCGGCCCGGGGAAAGCACCCCCCAGGAACAACCCTGTTCTGGGAAACAGGCTCCCCGTCGGGATGAACTGTAGCCTGACCTCAGAGCCCAACCCTCCTCCTGCCCAGCCTTACCTAGGTGGGGAGAGGGTAGGGAGGCCAGATTATGACCCTCTGCACTGCGCGCTTTAAAAAGAAACAGCAGCCTTTCCTCAGATTAAATCTTCCCGAATCCCCACTGTGAAGACCAGTTATAAAATCCAGAGCTGACTGGGAGGTGGATACAGGGGTTCCTTAGAGCACACTTTGACAACCCCTGGTTCCCGAGTCTGGAGTGGTGCCAGGTACTCCAGAGCCGTGGTTCTGATCCTCGCTCTGCACCCCGCCCCTCCTCGTGATGCCTGGCCCTGCTCCTCTTGGGGAATCAGGGGGCAGGCCTCGCTGGCAGGGCCGCTCTGAGGCCTGAACGGAGTGGGTGCCTGATACGTGCAGCACGGCACCAGCGCTCAGGAACCCTGTCCTTCCCTGACCGGTGTGGCTCAGTGGGCTTAGCATTGTCCCGCAAAGCAAAAACTCATGGATTCAATTCCAGGTCAGGGTGCATGCCGAGGCTGTGGGTTCGGCCCCCAGTTGGGACGCATATGAGAGGCAACTGATGGATGATGGTTCTCCCTCACATACGTGTCTCTCTCCCTGTTTCTCCCTGCCTTCCTCTCTCTCAAATAAATAAATAAATACAATTTGGGGAGAGAGAGAAAGAAAGAGAGAGAGAGAGAAAGAAAGAGAGAGAGAGAGAGAGAGAGAGAGAGACACTGTCCTTAACAACCTGACCATCCACGCCTCCCAGCCCTCCCCGCACACCCCTCAGAACGACAGGAAGGGTCTCCAGTACGTGTTGAGTCCAGGCCATCCCCTCTCCTGATTTTATTTTAGACCCCGAATGCCCTGAGGCTTTCTGGATCTGAAGCGGTGATATCCAAGGGCGAGTGTTTCCGGGCAGTTTAGAAGACCCTGCTCAGGTGGATGCAGGGGGACACCTGACCACAGGTATTTCAACCCAGGTTCAGACAGCCATCTGCCAGGGGGGCCTTCTCTCTCACTTCCTGTGTAAGAGGAGCTGCCGGTTCTTGTCCATAAAAGGCCACGAGGATCACACAGCGGTGACATCAGCCCCCACAGGAAGTTACGGAGAGCGAGCCTGGTTCCCCAACAGTCGCGGCGGGGCTGACTCACTGCAGCAGCGCTCACTCAGATAAGGCCTCCTGGGGTTCGGCCAGAGCTGCTCTCTCAGGAGCACACCTGGAAGAGCGTCCTGCCCCCAGGCCCCATCTTCGGGTCCACCAGGTTGCTTGAAACAAGAAACAAAGACTCCAAGGACAGTTTCACACTGAGAGACATGGCTGCATGGAGAGAGATGTTGAGATGATCCATGACAAATGGGCTGAAGCTTTCCACCACGGAGGGGTCTGTCTTTCACAAAAACTGCAGAGCAGACCCCGGGGCCGCTCACTGGGTGACCCCTGCTGCATGTCACCTGGGCGGCAAGCCTCAGGCTGCCCAAGGCAAACTCCTGGGCTCCAGACTTCCTTCCCCCAGAGCCTCTCATGGACGTATGGGGGGCTCATGGGGCCACAGTGCAAGTACACTTGGGACAAAACCAAGTATAAGGCGTGGAGACACCTGTGGGTTCAAGCTCAGAACCTGGGGGTGGGAAGGCCCTAGAGGGCATCCAGTTGCACCATCTGTGTCTAGAGGCCAGGACACTGCATCCCGAGAAACCCAATGACTTGATCAAGGTCACACAAGCTGAGCCAAGAACCCAGGCCTCGGGACGCCTAGCGCTCCTCCAGAGAGCTCCGACAGGGCAGGGCACTGTGCCACCAGCAGCCCTGTCTCAGCGCTGCACAGAAAGGGCCATCCACACTCATTAGGTGTCACATGGGGCCTTGCAAGCTGTCTACTACTTTCTCCAAAGCCAGCCCAATTC